ATTAAACCTTCATTTTGTGCATATTATTGATCGACTTGTCGCCTTCATCCGTGACATTTCTGGTGGAGGTGCGGGCTCCTTTTTTGTCCATTCCTCGTACGTTCCCGAGGAGCCGCCGTACCATAACGATTTCAGGCCCCTAAGGACTTTCTTCTGTGGAGCCAGGCGAAACATAAACAAGCCGCCGCACCAAAGACCAGCGACCGAAATTTCGTCCATGGGTGAAGCAACCAAAGATGAAGTCACCGAACCTGGAGATGTTTCCACAGGGTCAGCCGACCGAGACACCACTTTGCCGTATCCCATACGGTGTTTTGCTGCTCGTCACAACCCGTACTTCGACGCCCTTTCATCGCGACGTCTAGGAGGACATTGACGTTTTGTCGCAGCAGTACGAGCCAGTTGCGCGTCACAAGAGGTGGACGCCGGAGCAACGCCTGCGGAACGTGTGCTTCCCTCTCAAGGGAATGACACGCACCTGGTACGAAAACCACGAGGCAACGATTACCACCTGGGAAGCATGCAAGGATGAGCCTCACTGAGTGTTAGCGATCCCAGAGCAACGACAACGCGCTGAGGAGCTGCTTCAGGCAAGTGTTGAAGGCTCCAATGAGTGAATCTTCAGTTTCGTCGAGTACGTGCTTCGACTCGGCAGCCGAGCGGATCCCGAAGCTCCTGGAGCGAAGGAAATGAAAATATCATACAGGGGGTCAAAATAAAAAAAATCTTTGGGGGTTTTCAGCGCAGTCCACCTGCGACCGTTGACCAATTCATGACGGAGGCCAGAGAAATCGAACGAGCTTTCCAGGCACGAACCTCGTACTACCCGCGACTTCCTGGCGTCGCTGTATCGTCGTCATAAAGCTGCTATCTTGGCCCCAGTACGTCGGACATCCGCGAGATCATCCGGGACGTTGTCTGACAGAAGCTCCGAAAGCTGCCGTCCCACTGCTGAGCGCCGGCCTCGCTTTCAGTCATAAGATCGTACGCGACGAAGTCAAGCGGGCCTTCCAACCAGAAGCTCCCGTCAACGTGGCTGCCCAGGAGGAGCCGATGTTTACACCGACATGACACGACGTTCGCCGCCAGTTGTCCGCCACTACTCGGCGACTTCTCGACGCGACACGCCTGTACGCTCGACGCCAGAAAGGAGGCTTCCATTACGTCCGCCAAGAACAGTCGGCGCCAAGGAAGACGGACGTCTGGAGAACGGCTGACCGACGCCCGCTATACTACCACTGCGGGGAAGCGGACCACGTTTACCGACGATGCCCGTGCTGCCAGCATGGGTCTACGAGGGTTTGCGCCAAATGACCCTCGACCTCAGAACATCGAAGACTACTTACGCCACTCGTCATCTCCTGAGATGTCACCCCCGCCGAGCATAGCGCTCGCCTTAACTGCGACGCCCTGCATCACCTCTTCGTAGGCCCCGCCGGGAACGCCTGTGTCCCATGCCTTGCCGGAAAAGCAAAGTGCGGCAATACCATGAGGCGGTATTACCAAAGACGAACGACGCATATATTCTCCACAAACGTCGGATGACTTCCACACTAGTGACGAGACGCATCAGAACGACGCTTCTGCGAGGGTGTCGAATAACCTCAACGTTAGCATCGACGGCCGCGACGCGACGGCACCTATCGACACCGGAGGGTGGGTGGGCAGCTCTCTTGCCCTCTTCGGAAAGTGATGACACCGTGGGATGGTCTTACAGCCTTATTCGCTGCCTTGGGGACTTGAACTGTGAGGTGCTCCCCGACGGAACTCGACCGTCAGGACGCCGCCAGCTGCGACGCGAATTGGTGCACGCCATTCGTCTATGCTCGGCAAAATTTAGGACTAATTATGGTTCAGACTACCCACAGTTTGCTATTTTTTGCTTTTTGGTTTAGCTTTGTGTTAATTTATTTAAGGTAACAACGACGCAACGCTTCCTTGTTCATCTAGAAGATTCGTGTAAAAGATAAGGAGTCCAGACTGGCTTCGCCTGGTCAGTCTCGCCCTAGCTCACTCCCGAACATTATATATTCGGAGTCAACTATTCAGTGCTACATTGCCAAGACTAACCTAGCATCGGCAGTGCTCCAACTCTGTCAAAGCGCATGCCGCCGAAAGGCGCTTATCGAAAGGCGCTTATCTGTCTTGACAAAGTTGGAGCTAAGCAGACGCTAGGCTAGCCTTGGTAACATAGCACAGAATGGTTGATGCCGAGTATAGGTCGAATATTTGAGAGACCCAGTGTAGTAGATAGGAAGTGTATCGCGGTCTGGCCGATTCATTCACTCTCGGCTAGCCAGCTGTTACGTCAGTGCACCGTCGCTCACCGCTGCTTTCTCAACGTTGGTTGTTCCTTTTGTTTTTGGCACAAGTTCGCCGATTAAACCTTCCTTTTCAGTTCATTATTCATCGTCTCGTCGTCTTCACCCTCAACAATATGATGTCATCAAGCGGAAATCGAGGGACCAGTCTTTTGGACGCGGTAAAGACACCAGTCGGAGACGCGTTCCGGGAACCATACTTCCAGCAGTCTTCCGCCCAGCCTCTGCAAGGGTTCAAAAGGTCGAATGCCGGTACCTCAGACATGGACGATACGAAACTTCCGGTGACCGCACTCGCGCTGCAGCAACCAAGCCGGGATGCGCGATACAGAAAATTGTCATAGAGATGTCTGGTTCGTACACTCTAAAATACGGAACGCTACGCGTAAAGCAAAACGCTGCTACCATAGAGGGGAAGAGGAAGTAACTTAGAATGAACGCCGGTGGCGCGCAGCAATGAAACTAAATTAACTACTGTTGATTCCCTCAGACTTCGCACAGCTGCCAAAATCCCGTTCATTCAAAGAAGTCTGACCTTTGTAAGTTGCTTGAGCGTGTAATGTAATTAGTTTCTATCAGTGATTACAGTGGATTTAATGGAAGCTGCTTTTTGTTACTGAAACGTTTCCCGTAGTTTTTGTCATTTTTTATTTTTCAATTATGCTCAAATGTAGGCCACTTTTCACTCGTCAGGTTTTACAATGTGACATATATCTTCAAGGCCGCCAAGCCTCACGTAGGGGTCGATGAAGTCTTTCACGTAGGCGGAAACCTCCACAAACACGTGTGGTCCGAGCATCGTGCTGCAGATAAACGGCGTGGCGCTGACGATCCCGTGTAGAGACCACGTTCCGTTTTCCTGGCGTACCACGGGACCGCCGCTGTCACCGTGTGAACAAGTTTAGCCTTAAAACTGGCACTTTCAAATTTGTAGTCTTGATTCAACACAGGATCTTCTAAATCGAATAAACGTTGTCACACACAAAAAACAACAACAACAAAGAGCTTTGTTTGTTTGGTACACCATTTGCCCCCGCGGAAAGCGTAAAACTTCTTTCTTAAAAAAAAAATAACTTTACGTGGCTTTTTTTTCAGTGTGGGGAGGGGCGGGGCAACGGAATTAAATTCTACGAGTAAAATATTCCACGGAGGGTTTGTACGGAAGACCCAAACAGACTCTGCGTGCTTGTTGTAAAGGGCCAGGGGGAGGCAGCTCAAAGTTTGCATGCGCTACGCTGACTTCTTTCTTGCGCGCACTTGAACGTAAATCGGCGTGGTCATGATGCCCCGGTCGTCTTCCTCGTGGCGTTTACCGCTTTTCATACCAGTATCCAATTACAAGACAACACTCGTCGCGATCACAGGAAAGACACGGGAATAGAGTCATCAATTAGAACGCATCTAGGAAACTGTTTTCGTGTGTATGATTGCTTTTATATTCAATACCACCTAAGCAGTGGCATCCACCTAAGCAGTGGCATATTCAATACCACCTAAGCAGTGGCGCAAGGGGGTGAGGGCGGGGGGGGGGGGGGGGGGGGCGAACCGCCCCGGGTGCAGCGCTCTGGGGGGTGTCACGGCGGGTCACGAAAAGGGGGCGGGGGGAGGGGTGGAGGGGGGCAACGAGCCGGGGGGGGGGGGGGGGGGGGAGGGCACGTGCCACCGCCCCGGGTGCCGCTGATCCTAGTGACGCCACTGCACGTAAGTCATTTCCACGCACATTAAAGGGGTACTCTACAGGTTCTTTCATTGCCTCCGATTTTCTTGAAAGTTTTCTAAACTCACCAACATACGTCGCTAAAGTAGGATCCGAAATATTATATATCAACACATCGTTTTTTTCGCGAAGTTATTGAATTTAGAGCTTTGGTCCTGACTATGTTTTTCGAACTGAAAGTCTCCACTGGCAACCACGAAAAAGTGACGCCAGCGGAAGGCAGGGGTTCACTCTTTGGACTGTACAATTTGTTCCTAACTGATTGGAAGCAGTTTCACGGTGTCAAATGAATGCTTTGGAAGCTCGCTCCAGTTCCCGCGCTCCAGCACGGAACAAGTGATTGGCATATTCTATATTTAGACTGCTCGCTCGACTGGCAACACTGCCTGCCACTGGACGTCATGGCACCGAAAATTGCGGTTATATTTGAATGTTGGTTTTTGCATCAGTTTCATTTGCCGATTTCTCAATAACTAATATGAATTTGGCGATACTAAATAGCATACCGGAAAGGGTAAAGGCTGGGGAGTTAGTTGAGGTAGCTCAAATATGGTTAGTTGAGGTAGCTCTAAAAACCTGTGGAGTACCCCTTTAAGCACTCCAGGTGTATTCGTCTTGTAGATATATTTATTATATGACCAGGCTAGGACCTAAGGCTTGACGTCAAGTCATCTTCGGAAGAACAATTGGGTACCCTAGGTCTGCGGACATGCGCGTGGGTATAACGGTGTGTGCTCTTATGCCTTCTCGCCCGAACTTGTTTCCGCAAGCCCATCTATTAATATATGCTATAAACATGTCTGCTTCGTGGTGCCTTCAGTTTTTGAAGCATGGCCTGGCAATGATATTGAAGGCGTCAATGGTGGCTGTGTTTTACGGCTGTTTTGCATGATAGTCCACATTCGTATTGTGTACTTCCCAGGTAGGTGACGGTTTGTCCCGTTATTTTATGATGCCAATGATCAAAACAAGAGCTTACAAAGGAGCTTAATTTCGCAGATGTGCTCCATAATTACACTCACTTCACAAATAAATCCGTATTGATGTTCGGCGCAGATGAGTTCAGAGATCCTGTTGGCTCCCCATTTCTTCCTGCAGATGTCAATTGGCATCGCCTTGACCATGGCTTGCTTAAGCTCCTGCGGAATCGTGTGTAAGCCTAAAAAATTGGAAATGAGAAATAAAATGTGCATTACTTACCACGATGAATACGTTGCGCACGTTGTGCAGTCTCTAGCGCAATAACAAAAAAAAATATTAATATATTAGAAGTTTTGCTGGAGCCGATGAAGCTGGATCGCGTTGTGTGCTTGTTTGGTTTGCTTGTAAAGGGTTCAAGCATGCAGCCTTTTAATTACCTATAGCGATGGAATAGTGAATGCAGCTTTTGGTTTATTGCGAGGCCAAATGGAAATGTTTTGGTAGTAAACGTTTGAATGGAAGTAGTTTAAAAAATACATAAATTTGTAGCTCTATATATATGAGAACGGATAAGATAATACAATAATTTATCTGATGTTTGTAGGTTCCGACATGTCTATTATACAAATATGAAGATTTTTTTTTCCAATAGGGTAGTAATGCTAAAGACAGCGTACAACATAGAGTACTTATTATTTAAGCGTACTTTTATACCATCCGATGAATATTTTACGAGGAGTCGGATGAGACGCAGGCATCACGATATTTAGAGTAAACAATAAATTACAACAAACTCAAGGAAATAAGGAGCCACACAAAGCATACAAGGGCCTCAGAGTGTTCGTTTCATTAGTATGCGAAATAGCTATTAAGATTACCTGGCGGTGGTGAAGGTTTGTGACGAGGGGACCTCATGGTTTGCACTTATTGAATATCTAATGTTAGCTCTCAGAAATCACTGCTTTCAGTCACCGTGCTTAGACCCGTTTACGGATCATAAAATGAGAATTTAGTTTTAATACAGTAGAGAAACCCCAAGGAATAAATTTATATTTGAGCATGGACACATACGTAAGCCATTTATTTAGATTGGAAGCGCGGCCAAGGTACTCAAAAACACATGAAAGATACCAGAAGAGAGAGGAAGAGGAGACAATGAGCTTCATAAATTGTGATGAACTGATAACTCAGTTCATGAGCGCGGGTTGCAAAACGTGCATAATTCCAATCAAACCAATTTATGTCGGCGTTGCGTTTCTTGTCTTTATCTTTTTGGCAGTAAAAAAGGTGCGAGTTCAATGGAGACAATGGAGGGGCACTGCTATCAATAATGAGATATGAATTCCAAACAAAAGCAAATATGCATAGAAATCATATATTTATTTCAGTTGACGTTGTACGACATTCGACACCAGGATGCTGAATCACCGTTGAATAGCATTTGACGTCACCAGACTGTTTAATACTGAAGTTTAATTGTAGAAACATGTGATTGAAATATGTGAATGAATTGTGGTTTTCCTCACCATCTGTGGCACCCCAACCTGTGGCGTAAAGCGTTGCTCCCAAACCCAGCTTGTCTCCGTTCTTTGGAAGACAGACCGGTTGAATTGCTTTCGTCATGTTCACTGGCTGACTCAATTTGATGATCGCTATGTCGGGTACCGTGACCTAGAAATCCAGAAGAAACCCACGACTTGTCACTTTTGTGTGCGAGCTGTCAAAATCCGTCAACAAAATGCTTAATGGTTTCTTATCTTGTCAATAAATACTAACTATAGCTTTCCATACAATGGAGGTTTCAATCGAAAGGTTATTTACGTTAGCATATTATAGCCAACAAAAGCAACTACTTTACCAAAAATAAATTGTGAATACAGCCCAGGTCACTAGAATTAATGAACACCGAAGGGTGGTTCAGACTGACTGCAATCTAAATGCGATATTTTATGCCGCAAACAGAAAGAATAATCTGATGGTATATATATATCTATATATATATATACAGATAACCGTGATTGATCTATAGACGATCAGGCAACATGATAGAAACGGTAAAAGTTCTCGGTTAAACTCTACGCCGCGACACAACGAATGGAGGCCCTGTAATACACCCCAGTGTTTAGTCTGCAAATTCAGCAAACAAACAGAGCCAGAGGCACGCATTCGCAAAACTCAATGAAAATTGAAGGGGAACTGACGTGCAACTCCTCAAACGTACTTGCTAGAGTATAGAGTATGCAAAATGCAATACGGAGGACAGACTGAGAGAGCGTTTACTCTACGCTTCAACAACCACAGAACTCGCTCTTAATCTAATTCAGCCTCCCTCCTTCAAAATACCTCCGCCTCCCAGAGCATCATTTCGATGCATTATGTTTGACATCAGTGGAAACTGGATTTAGATTAAACCGGGAGCGCGAACAGCGAGAGTCATTCCTAATATACAGATTCAATACAATAGAAAAAGGAATAAATGAGAGACCAGGAACACTTGCATCAATAAGAGCATTAACCAAACCTACCGTTTCAAAGTGGTACTGCACTTTCTGCTCGAAATGGAGCACGTGATTATTCTATTACGACTCCAATATTATAAATGCTATCTTCTGCGGAACCATGCTTCCTTTTCACGCCTGCTTCATTAACCACATCTCACAAACGCACCCCCACCCTCTATCATCTCGTCTTCTTTTTTTTTTTTTTTGACAAACGACAAAGAGGGCAAAGATACTTTTTTTTTGTGCGATGTTCTGATTTTTTTTTTACACGCGTGGCCCCCTAGGCAGGTCGGGCAACCGTCGAAAAAATGCATTGGCTCATGGGGGACTAAGTGGCATCAGCACTGCTGTAGGCGTTCAAGCGCACTTTGTAATAAGCCGCCCTGCAGGAGGAGCGGGCTCAGGTCAAGTTGTTCTTTCACCGCAAAAATAAACTAGGCATTGCCGAACGCTCATTCTCCACCCAAAGGTAGCGCGAGAGGTCCCGACCAGATGCCAAAGTTTCAGCCCGATCCGATTCTTTATTCTAAAGTTATGTGATTTTCTGAAAAGTTCAATGAAAAAATGGCGGCCGACGGAGTTTTCGAATACATGGGGCTCTATGGGCACCAGAAACCGAAAACGGTCAAAAATGGGCTCCATTTTCCCATTGAAATTTTCAGAAAATCACTTATAACTTTTGAATAAGGTATCCGATCGGGCTGAAACTTTGGCATCTGGTTGTGACCTCTAGCGCTACCTTTGGGCGGAGAATGAGCGTTTGACGATGTCTAGTTTATTTTTGCATTAAAAAAAAAATAAAGCCTTGTTAGTATTTTTTTGTGACCCCAGTATATACATATATATATATATATGTGTGCGATTGTCAGAGATCGCGTATTTGGAAGGTTCTGAAAGCTCGGATACTTTCAACTCAAGAAAGAAAAATGCTACGTGGTTATTCAAACTACAGTAAAAGAGTCAAATGTTCATAAAATTGTGTTCTTGGTTTTATTCCTCTGAAGCATTTTGAACCTAGCCCATTTGACTATAGTTTGGCCGGTTTGGATGATGACAACTCATGTACGTATTTACTCGATTGTAACGCGAGTTTTTTTTTTCCAGATTATGGCTGCCTAAAGTCAACCCTCGCGGGACAATCGAATACCGAAATTAAAGTTATGTAAAAATTGCAACGATACGCCCAGACCTAATTGAAGGCGCCAGATTTGGGCGCCCCGCGACGTATGTTGGCAACATGTGCCTGCCAAAAGCCATTCGTATCCACTGCAAGCCAATAACTCTCCCTTTGTTTCCGCCTTTTTTTTCTCTGACGGAGTGCACGTTGCGTTCGTCGTGTGTGGTGGCATCGGCGACTTTGGCTGCCTTGTGTTTCATCTCACTTCGGTTGCCCTTACAATGGCAGCTGTCGGGCACAGTACGACGCCCGCTTCAAGGGGCGCGCCATTTTATTGGCCGAAGACATCGGCAATTCAGCCGCTGCCCGAAACCTCGAGGTAAACGAGTCGACCATTCGTGGATGGCGGCTCCAGCGGGAGTGCCTTTTCCTGTGCGCGCCGGGCCGAAAAGGTTTCCGTGGGCCTCACCACGGCCGTTACTTGGAATTGGAGCAGCGTGTTGCTCATTACGTCATAGAACAGCACAACCGCCTCATGGCCGTCAGCGTTGAACTGATACAGTTCAAAGCGAGTGATGTTGCTAGGCAGATGGGCATCCCGCGAACGGAGTTCAAAGCGTCACGTGGATGGGCGCAGAGGTTTATGCGGAGGAACGGGTTTTCCCCCCGCCGGACCACCTCCATCCGGCAAAAGTTGCCGCAGGGCTTTGAAGGAAAACTACTGGAATTTCAGCGCTTCGTGATGAATTTGCGCCGTTCTTCAAACATGCCATTGGGGCATATTGGCAACGCAGATCAGACTCCTGTGTATCTTGATATGCCTGTGTCAAGAACTGTGAACAGCGTTGGTGCCCCAGAAGTACGCATTAGGACAACTGGGAATGAAAAGAACAGAATAACAGTAATGCTGGCATGCTTGGCAGATGGCCGCAAGCTCCCCCCTTACATCATTTTTCGCCGGAAGACTATTCCAAAGGAAACGTTCCCTAGGAACGTCATTGTGCGTTGCCAGGAGAAGGGATGGATGGAAGCTTCCTTAGTTCTTGACTGGATTACCACAGTGTGGTGCCGGCCGACCAGGTGCTCTTCTACACCCGTCTTCAATCCTCGTGCTGGATTCGTTCCGCGGACACCTCACCTCCGAGGTCAAGGAGAAGTTGGCAGAGACTGAAACACACCTTGCTGTCATTCCCGGCGGAATGACCTCGATTCTGCAACCGCTCGATGTGTGCCTAAACAAACCGTTTAAGGACAGAATCCGGAAGCTGTACAACGATTGGATCCGTGAAGATCAAACCCTGACACCCTCAGGAAGAATCAAACGGCCGAGCGCTTCGGTCATTGCCGAGTGGGTGTCTGCCGCTTGGTATGACCTCCCGCACAGCATGGTAGTTCGTGCCTTCAAAAAGTGTTCGCTTTCAAATGCCCTCGATGGCACGGAAGACGACATTCTCTGGGAGGATCAGAGTGCGAAGGAGGACTCGGATTCCGAGAAATCGTCCGACGACGACTAGCAAGTTCACAACGTCTTGAGGCAGGTGATTGCTTCTAGCCAACATTTGAAAAAAAATGCAATTTTTCATGCATGTGTCAGTGTCACGCTACTTCGATAGTTTTTACTTGGCCTTTTTTTTTTTTTTTTCCGGACGCATTACAAGTCGCCCCTTGCGTTACATTCGCGATTTATTTTTTCTTGCTAGAAGCAGTGAAAATTCACCCCTCGCGTTACAATCGCGGTCGCGTTACAATCGAGTAAATACGTTTTTTATGGTATATTATAAATGAAATTAATTAAAGCTTTAAAATACTTATTCTACAAGAACAATAACGCTGTTTTAAATTAATTTATGCGAAAAAAGCTTTTGAACACGACAGTAAACACTAAAAGTACAAATTTCAAAATCAACTTTATGGAAAATTTATGAATATTTTTTTTCACAGGAAAAGCCCTCAGTATGGTTTACGACACCCAATAAGGATCAGATGTAATATATGTTTTGGACATAAATTCGTACATTTGAGAGGACAATATATTTGAAGTTATATTCCAAGATTTCTATTCCAAAATGTGAAGCATTATCGTCGTCAATTGCACCACTATTCATTGGCTTTAAGTCACAGTTAAATAAAATAAAGCTGATGCCTAGGTGGGATGTTATGTTTAATCTGTGATGGTTTACCTACACGTCTAACTTAGTAACTTGAACAAATCTGAGAAATCACAAGTAAAATAATAATTTAAAATGTTTCACAAAAATTAAAAGCTTATGGATATTTTCCTGCAAAGGGTTTATGCGGAATAGAGACATTGAGGCAAATAAAAAATATTTATTATGCAGACAGCCCTAGCACGAAACTTCTGCTTCTTGAAACTGCCGTTTCTCCACTCGAGCTAAGCCTTCTGCGAACGTACACTCGTTTAAACTAACTGTTGTATATTTACGATAAGAAGAACGCTTAAAGAAACCGCGGTGAATAACAAACAATTGCATACAATATCTGGTACCGGAAGCACATGAGAACGTTGATTGTGACCATGTAGGGGCCGTTAAAGTGGGTTACCACATTACTCTAGATGCTCAACTGAATTTAAACCCCCTCATTTTTGTCACTTTTTGAGCACATGTTCGTTCAAAAGTGGCCTGAAAGCATGTTATTGACGAAACTTGTATCATTCTGTTCCTTTTCTTGGTGACAACGCTATGACGGCATGTGGGGAGTGCCAAGCGCGTTTCGTGGCGTGGGAGGATTGTTTAAGCATGAAGACTGTCGACGTTACCGAAAATCGCCTTCTGCGCGCTGCCCTCTTTGTCGGCTGGGCTGTGGAACGCCTTCTGAGCATGCGCAGTTGCTCTGCGGTGCTGTATATCAGACGCTGCGCCTGCTTCCACAGCCCAGTGACTCGGCATTTTTCTCCCAGGTGATAAGCGATGGAAAGGTCTATAAGCAGAACCGCAATCGACAGAATTTGAAATAACTGGACGTGCTGATGAGTTCGTACGGCTAGTCGCCCCTGAAGCGCCTATAATTATTTTCTCACTAAGTAATCTAACACGCCTCCTGCGACAAAAAAAAAAAAAAATTATTGAAAGGAACTAGGTTTTTAGCGTTTTTAAGAACATTCGGTACGCCACTTGTGGACGAAAAGACAAAATGAGAACGGACCTTTAATTTTGTTGTAAAAACAATTTGCTAAAAGTGAACCATTCACCATTTTTAACGTTGTTTTATGGTCACAATAAACATTCCTGTGAAACTTGCGATATGTTATGTAATTTTATGTACAGTGCTTCTCAAACCTGATGTCGTTACTCGTTTAGCTAAACATTAATTATGGCTGGCGGCTTAAATTTCATTTGGCACTGCAGCAGTTGGAATGTCTTCACCATGACGGATTGTGGTCGGGGGTTCAAAACGATACCTCGGTTGGACCGGCAGGTTCAAGAACTGCACAAAAAGTGCCAGGAACGGGCCATTTAATGGCAGCGTTAAGTTTGGGGAACAGTGCAATTCCTTACGGTGTATGCGGACTTTACGGTTATCAACAAAAATAAACTTAGAAAGGGTTAGTCAAGCCCAGAAAGGGTTAGTCAAGCCCAGCTTCTCATTGGGCTTAGCGTGAGTGGGGAGGTGGCAGTTGAAAAATGTATAAATTTCCCTCTCGGCTTCTCGGTGCATTAGTAACAATATTTTTTGGTGGTCGTACTGTCACAGCATCCAGGATAAGACTTTCAAAGGGTAATATTTATGGACTTACGATTTTCATCACTCAATTTAGACAAATGTTTTTTTTTAACAGCGCAAGTTAGACGTGTGTATGAAAACCTTTATATTTGTACACGACTCACTGCATTACTATTCGTTAGTCTGAAGCCAATCGACACTATGAGTATAGGTGCCAGCAAATAATGAACAATACGGAAGGAAAAAAAACGGCTATGGCGTAGCTTCGAATCTTCCAATAAAAGATTAATTACATCGTATTTTTAAATGTACAAATGTTTATGTTCAAACGAGATATTGCATCTGATCTTTATTGGGTATCTTAAACCATTCTCAGGGGTATTTATACAAAAACAAGGAAAAATTATTGAAAATGGTCTTTAAAAATATGCTTTTAAAGCTTTCTCTCATATTAAATGGAGCGTTTTGCTAAGTTAACTTCATTTGTCAATAGCGATATTTCTTGTTGACCAGACATTTGTTTTTACTTTTATACATTTGATATCGTAATTTATGCCATAATATTGAAGTCAGCGAAAGTTACCATCATCAATACCAGGTATAATATCGTCAATGACTCTGGATTTATTACAAAATAAATAAAAGCAATAACACCTATTTATGAACATTTGGCTCTTTTACTGTAGTAAAAACAAAAAAACAAATACACGTAAGAAGTTTCTTTGTTGTGCGGAAGGCAGCCGAGCATGGCGAAGCTCCCAAATACGCGACCGGTGACGATCGCCCAAATCCTACAAGTGACTAAATTATCGAAATACCTGGGGTTTACTTTTACCTGCATCCTATTGATTATCCCTCAATTTAGAAACGTACTTGAGGCAAATGAAAGTGATGCGAAACCGAGTTTCGAATTTGCCCGCCTCTTCTGCTGGGGTGACGTCACACGTAAAATATGCAGGTCCGTCAGGCAGTCTAAATAATATGTCGTTTCACTTTTCGCTAATACCACTTTGCATAAATCCTCGATTTTTATAGCATATCAAACATACCGTATTTCGTCTTCGCATCGTCTAAAAAAAACGCGCAGCGTTTATGCATTGACCTCGCGGCCAGACCAAGCGGCCACGTGGTCCGGGGAAGAATTTATGCCGTCGCGGTTTCTCATATTCACGCGCAGGGTTTGGCAAGGCACAGTACATGCTCTGAGTTCCAGACATTGTTCGGTTATTCTAAGCTCGTCACTGCAGCGATTCGAAACCAGCCACTCCCTGCATGCTTGTCGAGGTATCACGAGTCCAAATCGAATGCTCACGCCATGCGCAGGGTTCACTATATGAGCCACCTTTAAATATCGTCACTCGGGGCATTATGGCAACGTTACTAGATTAGCTCAGTTACGGAACTGCCATAGACGCTGCTTGCACGATCAGTACCACCTTCTCCCCCAACGGCTCGCCTCCCGCAGAGTAACTGCATAGGCTCTGCTTGCAGAGCCAGAGTATCTCGTTCCTTTTCCTTGAGCCCCGAACTCCGAATTGGCGGAAAAGCGGTCACGTGCACCGAGCTGGATCAGAACTTCGCGCGGGAAAGCGACCTTCCAGGTGACAAGTTTCGGGCGGACCATGTTTCTCGCTTCCTATATCCTACATCCTACACTAAAATGGAACGAATTGGAAGGTTCCTTGACCATTCAGAAGTATGTGTAGCCACTGAATACAGTATAATCGCTTTGTTTCATAATGAGAGCGATGTTTTAAAAGATGTCTCCAAAGTCTAGGAAGCAGACGACACGGAGGACGATCGCGTAGCTCGCGTCTGCGGCGCTCGGTAAGTGATACGCGAGTGGCACATCCGGGAACTTCGGACCAGACAACATCGCGTAGCTATGGCTTGAGAAGGACGACGTTTTTGTCGGCTACTACATTCTACCGAAAGCATACCGAGAAACAGGAGACAAACGACGCGACGACGGCGCACGCACAGCGTTTCGCCGCACTACATCTTCTCTGCTCCTCACGCCGGAGCATGCTGCCTCCATCCGCGCATCCGGGGCTCTAGCAGAAACGACGGTCGCTTCCCGCAGTGCGGCCTTGGATCCAACATGGCCGCCCTGGAAGCAGCATTGCGGCACTCTGCTCCGGAAGCGGAGCATGTACAGTTCCTCTAGCCTCCCGCGGTTCGAGGCGCCCCCATTCCAGGGGGGACGGCTGCTGTGGTAACTTCAGCGTATTCTATAGAATACGTATATTGCGAAGCACAGCGTCTGGATGGCTTTTCACCGTACTCCATGAAACGCACAGTTATGAAACCAAAACTTGAAATAGCGCTTCCAACGACGGAAGGTGAACTGCAGCGTGTAAAAGTGGACACCCCCTCCGCAGAAGTTCCACAACTGAGGTGATCTAGTAACGTTGACTATGCCAACACTGCGACCTCCGAGCTATACGTCATCCAGCTTGGCGAAGGAGAAATTGAAAGAAAACGCTCGCTTTTATCCTTGAAATTACACCACAACGAAGAAATTTTTTGGTCAGTGGCATTGCGTGCCAGTACTTTGGTTCCATTGTATACAAATATACTTAGTATACAACGCTGTCAAAGCTACTGGCGCGAGCGCGTGGTTTCGTTCGCGGGAGGACGCGTACAAACGATCTGCGACATCAAACCTGGTGCTAGCGCCAGCAGTTTTGACAGCGTTGTACACTAAGTATGAAACATAGGCTCCATTTACATGGGCTGAGTGCGACCGTAAAGCGCCGAATCGAGCAGTGACCAATCGCACAAACCCTGTCTCTTTTTTTCTTCCTCTTCTACCCATCTACTTCCAATCAGAAGTTAAATCCCAATTCCATGCGCTAGGATCGCATCCATGTACACGCAGCCATGGAAGCGACCGTAGCGCATCCAATCAAGATTTGACTCTTTCGATCTGTACTAGATGGGTAGAAGAAGGAGGAGGAAGGAAACAGGATGCGTGTGATTGGTGCCTCCTTGATTCGACGCGCTTCGGTCGCATTCATGTAAACACGGTCATAGTACAGTGACATTAAGCTCGCGTAACGGGAAAAACATACCAATTGAATATCATACATCTGCCCCTTCTTTGTTACTGCTAAACCAGCCATGCCCGTATTTGTCGCTCGAAACCTTACCAGTTTTAGACTTTCGTTGTATCGAGGGTGAACGCAAATTTCTGCGACATCAAAAAATTGCTCCGTGTCGTCCTTTCTTGATCGACGACGAGAGCCGAGAGAAACACGTATTTCTCGTAACAAACGGCGCCTGCATTAAAATAATTTGCGCTGCTTATGTGCATGCAGATCACGAGCAAATAGGCAAAATAAACCTTCCTCGTTTTAATAGAGATTAGAAACTGAAAGCCGTTTACAACTCCCTGTAACTCCAAATTGGAGCGCAGATTTTAAGGAGGAGGAGGGAAGGAGGAGGAGCATATACACCTCCTCCCCACCTCATCCTGCCTGTTACTCCTCCCTCCGAGCGGCGTCGGCCTCGCCGTCGCCGTCGGGGTAACCGTGAGGTCACGTGACCCTCGTGACCTCACGGGGGTCACGTTACGTCACCGGGATTACATGACCTTGTGGGGGCCATGTGACCTCACGGGGGTCACGTGACGTCACCGGTATCACGTGACCTCACGGGGGTCATGTGGCGTCACCGGGGTCACGTGACCTCACGGGAATCATGTGACCTCACGGTTACGCCGACGCCGACGGCGACACCGCCCAAGCCGGAAACGGGCGCCTAAGAGCTGCGCTCTAAAACTATAGGTCAAGCAACACGTCACACTTTAGACCAACGTACAGCGTGTACCCCCCCCCCCAAATTAAAAAAAAGCAAAAAAAAAAAGCAAAGCCAAAGTTGGTCAGTGTTACGACAAAAAATCCTGATCCGACCCCCCCCCCCCCCCCCCCCCCCCCCCGCCCAACCCCCAAAACACAACTTATTTATGTAGACACAACTAAAATAGACAAGAAAAAACACAAACAAGGCGTGTAATTTTGTACCGGAAGAGCGTGGAAGGACGGTGTTCGGCGTTCGTGTTCGAATAGTGCGTAGCCTCCTCTTTGCTCACACAGCCTGGCAGTTCGACGGAGCCATGAGTAACCGGTCGCAGGTTTGGAGCGCGAGGATCTTGAGGCACAGGCAATCAAAGAGTCATTTCTCGGGAAACCTGGACGTCAGCGCACAGATTTTGCAGCGGCGAGGACCCGAAACACACTCGTTCGCTTGGGAGAAGTGTGTTTCGGCGTCTCGCCGCCATCGAGGCGCCAGTCACGTGGCTCTCCTCTCATCCGTTGTATGCCGCTCCACGTTTTCCATTTCGGCGGCCGCTTCTCGTGGCGATCTGTCAGGCTCTGTCAGTATATGGAAGGCTATGAATAGTGAGTAGAGACAATGTTACCTGCGTCTCACCACTAATCTTTCCACTCAGAGCACTCTCTGGCGCCTCTGTGCTCTCTCGTTTTCTCCTCTCCCTTAGTTTCTAGCCGTGTACATTCCTGCCTGCGGTCGTGGGATCAGAATTGCGCGACCCACGTTAAATATTTGGGCTGACAAGAATGTTGCACTAGAAAAGTCGCCACTATTCGGCGGATCTATTAAACGTTTACTTAGAAAAAAGTCTGCAATCAACAAATGGGATCCTGCCAAAAATGCGTCATAGTGAATTGGGGCGTACAATAAATTGGCGTAACGTATTATGATATTAAAAAAATGATGCGTCACTAAAAATATACGCCATCTCCAAGCTGGTGAGGGAGGCCCGGCAGAATGCAGAGACAACCATCCTGAAAACAACTGGTACACGTTTCTATATGCAGGGTGTTTGATTATGATTCGGATGGATATATTGAAATATCCGTGAAAGGTACATTAATGCGATCTGTGTAGTTGACTTATACGGCCAAGCATGGAACATAATATAGGGGGCCATTCCTCACAAGTCAGATAATTAACACCTGTTAAATACCTTTTTAAGCCGACAAAATAAACGTATACGTTTATTTTGTCGAATTGAAACCATATAATTGGAACCACATATGGTTCCAATTAGAAACTCGTTGAGTCACATTAACAACTCCTAAGTAAAATCTGGAAAACTTAGAAGTACGTAGGAAGCGCGGGATTGCGACAGAGCTACCACTCGTGATGCAGGCGCAAGTTAAGCTAGCCGACAAGGATGCCCGATAACGATTGTACTCAAATGCAGAGGCGGCAGGGGAGCATCGGTTATCGTTATCGGAGGTACCGAAACGATATACCAAGACTCCCCACTATCGCCTCTGACTTGGGTCAGCGAAGTGAGTAGAGCGGGTCTCCATCCACCCACTTGACGCAGTGGGCAGCCGTGAGGACATGCCGGTCGCTTATCAATGCACCGCCGCAGAAGCCTCCTAGCCAGTTGTGCAGCTGCGCTTGCCAGGGCCAGCTTCCGGGCAGGGAGGTCGCTCCACCGACTATCCGGTCTTCGGGATCGAGCACTGGCTGGATTTGGGAAACACCGCAGGACCCTGAAGAACATGAGGACGTGCGATTGATTCAGCCAAGTTCGAACTATTCGCAATTCTGTACACCGTTCCTACGTTGAACACTAAGAAAGGTGGAGCGTCTGCTCTTCCGCCAGGCACTTGGGAGAGTGCTGCAATCTGCGGAGGGCGTTGAACGAATGACCGATGCTGGTAATCTCTTTAAACCTAAAACACCCTGTCTGCGCTCTGCCGCTGAGCAGGATGTTTCACCATGCTCAGTGCCAGAGCGCATACCGTTGGTCTTAGGGAACCGTTTTTGAACATCCAACAGGGTACGATGGGCCGTCCGGTACGAACTGCGCATATGAGTGTCTTCTGCGGTAGCGCATGCGCAGTTCGTACGGAGGGCCTATTGTACCGTATCGGATGTGAGAAAAAACTGTTCCCTAAAACTCCCCATTAGAAAGTTTATTGAACCGAAACGAAATATGATCGATAGACAAAAACGATTGATACCTTGGATCGGCCGTGTGGACCGATCGTGTACCTTGACACGGCTTTTGGTGGAACATTATTTGCAGACAATTGGCACAGGTCGCGCCCCCTGGCAACGGCAAGCTACATTGGTCTCATCAGAAAAGACAGACTTGCGTTTGTGTGTAAGGGGGGTTACGAATCGCAGAAACTGAAGTAAATAACATTCGCATCTCGAAAATATAAAGAACCTAACTTCGTATATCTACTCATACTTCGTCTTGTTTTCTTTTTTTTTACTAAAATGAATGCGCTTCCGTGGTACAGCCCCTGGCGTTTCATGGGGTGTCGCCACGGGCAGTGTTAAGTTGAAAAATGTTCGTCTGCTAAAGGAGCATACGAGCTTTCCGACAACACTGGAGCTCGATCTTTTTGGCGACGTCTTGGAGTTGCGGAGCTATTCGGAGAGCAAGTTCGTCTGCCTCTTTTGCAGGGGTTGTGGTGACGTCAGAACGCCGAGCTCTGCTTGGCTCTGATTGAAGGATAGTGGGCAGACCTCAAGGCAGCTTGCTTTGAGGTCTATCCACTATCCTTTCGATCAAAACCAATCAGAGCTCGGCGTCGTTCTGACGTCACCGCAATACGCAAGAAGCAAACGACTTGGTCTCCGCATTCGGCGAAAACAATTGAGAACATTCTATTTTGTACGACTCTCTGTGCACAAAGCGAAGGCGCTTGTTGGCGCAAGGCTTGCAACGTTCGACAGTTCAGGAAGGTGTCGTACGAGAGTTCAGGTTCACGAAAAACGATATGCCTCATCTCCGATCGGTGCTACTGACTGAGGCCGTGTTCCAAAATTTACTCGATCTTACTCCAGGTTAAGGGTTTTGTACTTCGCTGTTTTAAAGCCTACCCGCGTCCGGCGTTTTTCAATCTGTGTTGTTAAGTGACACTACCGGCCGGAGTAACTAAGATTCATTTGAGTGAGATTTGGAACACAGCCTGAGAGTATTCTAGAAGGGAAGACAGACAGGCACGTAGCCAGGGTGGGGGAGGGCATGGGGCTTGGTCTCCCCCCCCCCCCCCCGAAACCGTCCATTTTTCTGGGGCCTCCTCTCCCCCTCCCTCTCATACAGGAATTTGTCATGGGTGGGCCCCCCCCCCTCGGGTGGGCCCCCCCCCCCCTCGGGTGGGCCCCCCCCCCCCCACGGGTGGCCGCCCCCCCCCCCCCCCCGAAACAAAATCCTGGCTACGTGCCTGAAGACAGAGAAGGTGAAACACCTCCTCTGTCTTCAGTCACGTAGCCAGGATTGGTAGCCTTAGCTTGAAATGTAACCTTTGGTAGATCGGCGCTGCGCATCCCGGAGACGCGGACAAACATCGGCTGGCTCCGGGTGTCAGGGGACGAGGCCCTCGCGATTGGGCTGAGGAGGCTAGGCTACCCCAATCGCCTCGGGGCTCACGTTGCTCTTGCGATCGCTTACGGAAGATAGCAGACGATCGCGGTCGTATTTCAGCGAACCGATCGTCGTGCCGTGTACGTGGTACGGCCACGAAGGAAAAAAAAAAAAATAAACACTTCTCACGTTAATGCTGTGCCCTTCGTTTTAAAACTTATCACCCAGTATTCAGTGGGCTCGTTTTATAGGACATATGTGACTAGACTTAGAACACAAAACTTTAATTCACGCATAATTTTTAAAGCAAGTATCGTGATGTCTTCATGAAAAAAAAAAAAAAAAAACTGTTGCTAACTTGGTCGCCACTACAGACAACCCTGATAGTCATAACGGCAGCTGTAGAAATGGGTCATAAGTGCCCGAATTGCACGTCCCAATGTTTGTATTTAAGTAATAAATTCTAAATGTGTAATAACATTAAAATCAACATTTTGCAGGTCAGTCGGATTGAAAACCTTCCATCTTCGCGTTCCTACGATACCAAAACTAGCGCTTCAACCAACTGAGCTTCTGCGCAAGCGTGTCTGGCATTTACTAAACGTTGAATTATTTCTTAAGACGAACCTCTATCGCGTTTGGTTCCGAAGTTTCATTCCTATTTGCTGAATCTAACTCCATACACTTGCTGCCACCTATGTCACTCCTGGCAGGCACTACCCCGAGTTATTTTATTCATGTATGAAGTCTCGGCAGGCTCCCTTTGTCAGCAGAATAGTTGTTTTTGTAACGAAGCGAGACTGTCGATGTCGGCGATTGGTCGTGATTTACGGTTCGAACGGCACATTGCGGTAAGGCCGCAGAAGACTCGCAAATGCGCAGTTCGTATCAGAGAGCACATCGTACCGCACCGGATGGGCGAAAACGGTTCTCTAAAACTCTTTTTTATCAGCCCCGTCATTCGCTGAACGCCCTCCGTACATTGCAGCGCTCTCCCAAATGCTTGGTGGGAGAGCAGACGCTCCAGATTTCTTAAGAGTACACCTTACAGCGGACGCAACGAGCCATCAAAGCCAATCCAGCGCCGCAACAGTGTCACATGACCTTGCAGGCTCGTTGTCTCATGATAATTTCACAACCCTCCATTGGCTGGAATAGAGTAACTGTATAGGCTCTGTTCGCAAAGCCAGACTATCGCGTTTCCTTTCCTTCCGCCGCCAACTCCGTATTGGCGGAGAAGCGGTCACGTTCATCCGAAAGCGAAGGGACGGCGTTTACATCGCTTGCTACGTTCTACCGCAATGATTTTAGTATTCGCGTAGAAAGAGTCCCGTGAACATGACGGGCCGCAGTGTAACGAACTGCACTAATCGCGCGCGTAGTGGCACGAGCATCTACAGAATTCCGACTACGAGAAATTATGTCAGACGCCGCCTCGTTTGGCACTTGCGCATGGGAAGGAAATGGGCAACTACTAAGAATGCAATTTGCGAGTTCGCCGAGAGTATAGAGGAGAGAAATGACGGGACGACAGTGTACGCGCTGCGCGTTGCCATACTATTTTATCTGCTCCGGACGCCGCATCCTGCCGCCTCACGGCACACCAGACGCGCCTCCGTTACTCCCGCAAAACAACGGTCGCTTCCAAGCGTGCTTGATGCCAACATGGCGACATGGCTGCCCTGAGAGCACCATTCCGATGGCCTGCTCCTCAAGCGGGAAATATAGGACTACTCTACACTGCTAAAAAAAAAAAAAAAAAAAAAAACAGTAGCATCAATCTACGGGGAAAAGACGGGTAGACCATGTCCCGTCTTTCGGCATTACATTCGATGTACTGTTTTTCTTCGCAAACACGAACTGTGCCATCAGTCGACGGAGAAAAGTCAAATAGAACATGCTCCGTCTTTCTGCATTACATCCAATGTACCATTTGTGCTCACAAACAGGATCTGTACCGTAGAAACGCAAATTACCTATTTTGGTAATGAGCGTCAATTTTTCCCATGACTATAAAGATGACCTCACAGAAAAGCCTATATATGCTTGTTACAACTTCCCGGCCCATTGAGCTTGTCTAAAAAGGACAAAATTTGTTCATCTGTATCGAACTTTATGACTCCGCGAAATCACAAAGGCTATCCGAAACGCAGCAAGCAGCGCGCAGAGCGCGGAGGAGAATATCACCAACATCACGCAACTCAAGCGAATCGAGCCAGCCCTCGCACCGGCCGCTGCAAAACGCATTGAGCACGGCGTGCTCCGTGTTTAAGTTTTCAACTGCTGTTTTTGCAACGTATACGTACACATTCAATGCACCATTGACATGAGATTGCGCTGTGCATGCGCACCTCTCTCCTGCAGAGCGAGAGCAACAGGTGATATATTGTGCTCAGAAAAATCTCCCATTTTGACATTTTATGACCACTAACACGCGCGTCTTGGAGAGCACCCGATGCAGGAAGTTAAGCGGTTACCCCAGTGAGCTGTTTGGGGGCTCCTCCCTAATTTTTAGCTCCGTTCAGGGTTTTGGCGCTCCAGCACGCGGACGCCGACCTAAGCCTAACCGGAGGGGCCCGGGGGCAGCGGCGCAGCCAGGACTGTTTTTTTTTTTTTTTTTTGGTGGGGGAGGGGAGGATAGAGTGAGGAGTGCGGGGGGGGGGGGGGGGGGGGGGGGAGGCGGTTGAGGCACATGTGCATATACTTATTATAGACCTGTTTCTTTCGGCCAGTTCAATCGAGCGCATTATGAATGAGCGACGATGTAGTATAGTGACGGTCGCGACCATGAAAGCGGCGCTGTAGCGTCAGTTCGTGCACGAGGTACGTACGATTGCAAGCGTCGGTCAGCGTATTTCTGTGCGCTATAATAAAGTGCCTGAAGAAACAACAAAAAACAAAAAATTGCGTTCTTTTATACTTCTTTATTTCTATTTTTTTTAGCGTCCCTGAACAACTCAGAGGAGCACAATGACACGCTAACAAAATGTGACTTAAAAATATTCTATTGCTCTCCAGGGACGCTGCTATAAACTTGAACGCGACGAGCCTTGGGCCTGTTTCTTTCGGCGAGGGTGAGCTGTAACGTCCTCGAGACACTGCCACAGAAGAGGCACCTCCCCTGGGGTTCGGGAGGCGCGACCATTTAATGCTGATGGGAAGCGGCGCGTCCTATGGGTCTCGTCAAGCACGATCCACAAACGAAAATTAGCGTATCTCGGCGTTCCTTATCCTCTGCCCACGGGAACTGACGTTTGAAGGGCGTCGCGCGACGTACAACTGAAAGGCGACCTAAAAATATCTGATTTTGCTCGCTAGGGGCGCTGCTCGATACTTGATACCGGCACGTCTACAAAGTCGGCTGAATCTTTTTTTTTTTTTTTTTTTTGAATGGGAGGGGATAAAGTTCCATAGCTTTCTCTTTCGTGGTGACACTACCGCCCAGGAGGGTTCGGCATGGTCCTCGGTCATCTCGGAGAGGCCCTGACCCCTCTTCGGCCATCAAGGAGCTTGAACCCGAGACAACCCGCTGACTACCGACATCAAGTCGCCAGAAAGGGAGGATTTCATGCAAGAAAATTATATCTAAAAGAAGATGACGCTGATTTGTGAACTGGATTCCAGCTTCTACCAAAAGCATAACTGTAGGAAAAGCTCGAACTATTACACCTTGTTGTGTGTACTCAAACTATGTAACTTAGAGCGGCGTTTGAGCTCTGAGGCCTGTTGGTCATAGGGTATATGCTATATCGGTACTCGCTGAGCCTGACCTACTTCAAGATATGTTCGACTTAGCGTGGTTTTCTACATTGGGGAATTCGCTGTAGCTAGATTGGAAGAGGAACTGACAGACTAATTCAGAGGAATATATTTGCAATAATTATAGATGTACTAAATAAATGAATAAATAATTAACTATGTAAATATATATCACATTTTAACATAACACTTCTTGCAATCGACTCGTGGGCATGAACCCGGACGAGGGGACCGGCGTTCTTCTCGGAAGGTGGCTCTGGTGCACCCGAAGTTGCAAGGGGCCCTTCAAGAACTTTCGAAGTTCAAGAAGGGTCAGGAAAGTTTAGCACTGTAGTTTGCTGCACCGCAAGAAACAGAGGATATCATTCTCTCACAAGCCCTCCACGCTTTCCATTTAAGTTGAGCGAACGCTGGAGAAAAGGCAAGTGGAATGGAGGATATCACTAGTGGTGACCCGAGAGCTTTACGGAGTGCCTTGGGCCTCGTTTCTTATTGTGTGACAGACTATAGGTTAGATTGGCTTGATTTATCTAGTCGATTTTTTTATCAACATTACTTACCCCAATAGAGAGAGTTTAGTACTGATCAAAACGGCTTTGTTGATTCATTATGATAGATTTTTGGCAATTTATTTTGTAGATCCCTACTGAAAAAAACCATTTGAAATTCAAACGGGTGGCAAACTGGTAAATCAAACGGGTGCAAACTTGTCGATCCGTTTGGATCAAACGTGATTATGGGATACGGGTAGCCGTTTGAAACGGTACCCGCTCGAAACGGTACCTATTTGATACAGGTGCCCGTTTGATATGGGTGCCCGTTTGATACAGGTGCCCGTTCGACCTTGCACGTGACCACACGTTTGAACGTGCCATTCGAATCGGGAAATTATGCGCTAGCCCTAAACGGGGATCGTCTGGTAGGTTGGTTATCTTAAACTTATTTAAGACGTTCCGAAACTCATAAACCTATTTATAACATGGAGGAAACACGTAGAACAAATGTGCTCACGTAGGTGTTTGCAAATGAACAGGAAAACAGACACAAAAGATTGTTTTCAATTCTCCTCAAAGTTTATTACGTCTTCTGTAGACAAGTACAAACGTGCAAGCGATCTGTGAAATGTGAGAGGCACTAAGCTTTTATACAACTGAGAAGATAGCAAACCAAACAAGAACCGAGGTAATTCTAGACTATGAAGGTAGGCTTTCGGGAAATTATTCGCCCGGCTGCCGCGAGAATAGTGGCAGCATAATTATATAAATAATCAGGAAGAGTACGAGTAGAAGAACGGTCAATCGTTGCCAAGAAGTAGGTTGCAGTGCACTTACCATAAAAATAACGGACTTGAAAGATGTAATCCGTGATAGTTGTCGACACGGTCAAAGCAGGACAACCACACAAACACAAATGAGAGGGAACGGCTTCTTGGAAGTTTCAACACGATGTCGCGCACAAGTGTCAGTTGGCGAACCCAACCAAACCGCAAGAATTCCTGACTTCTTCGAAGAATCGCTTGTTGCCGATATAGACGTAGGACTTTTCGAACACTGATAGCTTTGGTGCACATCCAATACGTTGTCGAGAGACATCCTAATAAGACCGCAGGGTTAGGCGACAGATCGAAGCAGGTGGACGCGCTAAGTTCGAGCTGGAACCGACAACAAGCAGACAAAGAAAAAAGCGATTGCTAGGCGCACCCTTCCGGATCTCGATGCTTATCAGCGTGTAGCTCGCGCGCGGGTGCGGGTCACGTGACGGGTGACAAGAGAGGAGGGAGGGGGCGAGGACCACAAGACAGCCCTTCTCCCTCTCCCCCGGCATTCCAAAAAGATGTGTTTTTGTAACCTCGAAAAAAAAAAAAAAAAAAAAACTGCGGGCGCGCACGCGCACGCATTTTAGCACGTTCGAACCTTGGAAATGGCGGCGGGGCGGCCAGAAGCTCGGCTTGCGCCCGAGCGAAGAAACTACTCAGCGCGAGCTCGTAGTTTGACTGCTGCAACGGCGGGCGTGCTCTCGCAATGCTCGATGTTCTTGCAGCCGCGTGTACGCGTGCTACCTTCGCTGCGTCTTGAATTAAAGTGAAACGGAGTCTAGACGTACATTCTCTTACGCGGTCGCATCTTCTGCGAGAGAGATTCGAGCTGAATAAGTAAATTGAGGCAACAAAGATGGACAAAGTTTTAGAGTTCTGTCAAAAATATCGGCTTACCAACGTCGCGCGTTTACGTAAAAGAACAAAAAAAAATGTTAGTTTTAGTTGCAGTATAAGCGAACATCAGCGCAATTGAAATATAAATATAATTACTTGCATTACGCGGATGATCTGAAATCGATGAACCGGCGCTCCCAGCCTTCCGGAAGCATTGGCTGCCACGGCTGAAACGCTAGGCGTGCCCACGCCGCCGATCTGTACGTTCAGTATCAAACGGGCTCCGGAGAGCCGTTTGATTAAACCGGTGCATTTGGCAACATGGTCACCGGTTTGAGCAAACGTGCGACAACTTTGCCCAAACGAGTCACCCATTTGCCCAAACAAGCGACCCATTTGCCCAGACGAACGACCCGTTTGCCAAAGGAGTGACCTGTTTGTCCAAATAGGTGAAGGTTATGGCTCATACGGGCGACCCCTTTGAGCCATACGGGCGACCCCTTTGACATACTGTTACCGGTATGAACCCGTTTATTTTCATATAGGCGCCAAATGGTTTTTTTCAGTAGGGGGACGAGGACTTGAGTCTCGTGAGAGGTATGTGGAAACAGCATCATCGCGAAAATCATTATTCTGTTTATCTTTCTCGTCACATCGTCTCCTATGACGTTCCTGGCGTCTTTGTGTTCGCCACGCCACCTGGCATCGATATTGCAAACGTGTATGCAGACGAAGAGCAGGCCGGTATAGGATAGCAAACACACGGCTGCCATTCATGCTTTCTTTTTTTTAAAGTTTTACTAGCTCTGAGTTGAACTTCAAAACAGGTGGACATAAACCTTCTTGAGAAACGACGTTAGCTTACCAAGTCTTACGTACGTGCGTTTTGAGCTAGAATTTTGCAAGGCATGCGAAATGTGCTCATCCTTACGGACTCACACTCGTGCGTTTATTTAAGTACTTCTTAAGGTCATAATGGGGCATTAGATAAAGATGGGATATATAAAAAAATTTCAATATTTATATAACATATATCAACCCGTAAAAAAATTGAACTATTCCGAAGCGGTTACCAACCAATAAATTTACAAGAAATAGCGAGAGGACTCATCGCGCACACATTGAAAACTTTCTCAAGAAATAAATCGCAACTGCTGCTGGAAAACAAGCGCTAAACAGGCTTACAAGCGTTGAGTCATAGTAAAGAGTCAAACAGCAGTGGCATGAAGTACTCGTGGCTGTTGTTGTTGGGGCTATTTCACTTGCAGCTGTTTCACTTGCCAACTCATTCTTGTCAGTTGGGGTAAAAAAAAAGGAAAAACTTTTAACACGCTAATTCTGGCAAAAGAAGTCTAAAATTTGTTAGGAAGTACAATAAAAAATGTGAGCGGGGCGTAGGATGTCACCTTGACGAAACTCGGCTGACCCATCAAAGCTTTTATGCGAATGGGACAACCTTTAGAGATATCAGCTCTGATGGACTCTATTAAAGGGCCGTCACACAACCCTTTGGGGTGATCAAATTTCGAATCATATATTTAAAACCCCCGGTTCAAAGTGACGAGCCCACATGTAGTCAAAAAGCCGGTTGAGAGAAGTAACTACCTGACGATATATAACATGCGGGCCGGCAAGCGACAGCCCAGCCCCTTCAAGAGAGGCCTAGCGAACAGCTCGATATTTTGGCGGAGTGAGAGAATAGGGCGCATATTGCTATTTGTCGTTTTCCACGTGCCATCGGAAAATGTAAACCTCCATTTCCAAACTGAGGTACCGTACCTATGTGTACATAGGCGTAGAGTACGGGGGGGAATCGCGCTCGTGCCCCCTAATGAGATGCAGGAGGGGGGGGGGGGGGCAGGGGGAGAGCCCCCCCTCCCCCCCCCCCCCCCCCCGGGTCTGGGCCATGATCCTTACCGAGACGCTGTTCACGCGCCATGTAACCAGCTTCTAGTAGTGGCATGTAAACAAAATACCTCCCACGTTGCGTTTATTGACCAAATACATGGGAAATGGAATCCCAGCGTGCTTTCGTTAGCTGCAATCTCCAGTTCTGGCGAGGAGATAACGTGCACCCCCCCCCCCCCCCCCCCGGGAAAATGGAATGGCTACGCCGCTGTATGTGTATGTTCAGTAAGTACGACAGTGGGTGCGCCCGAATCACCGCGACTGCCCTCAACGGCGTTTCGCTAGATTCACTGCATTTTTACATCAGGCGGAGAACGCTCACACAAAAAATCGTCATACACGAGGAATGGTCAAGGTGACTTCGATGAAAACAACGTATGTATGTCGTAAATGACGATGAATCGCTGTGTAGACTTGTGCTCAACCTGGGGATTCAAAGCGTTTGGCCCAGGTTGCCCCTCCGGCAATCGTCAGTGGTCATCTGCACCGCAAGGGGGCCAAGGGCAATTGGCCACGCGAGCGGCGCTCCGCCGCTGATAAAGGGCCGTAGCAGGGGGTGCGCGGGGGCTTTTTGGGATCACGGCGCCGGCGATAACTGTGATTGAAGGTCCTCGTGGTTGTTGAACCGGTGTGCCTTGTCACTCCCCGAGGCGGGTAGCAGAAAGGGAATTCCTACACTCTCTAGGCTCGTTCGATTTGCCCGCACTGCCTGCACTGGTGAAGAAAAGTGTAGGGAAGTGTACAGTCGCCGGCTGATAACAGAATGGTTTGGTCCCAATAGCCTGGCTCCCAGAACGCGGCAACGCTCGACGCGCTGCATGCGGGATTTTCGCGGCGACTGTACTTCCGGTATGTGTATTGAGATACGACCGGAAGTACATCTCCCTACACTTTTCTGCGCCGGTGCCAGAGATGCAGGTAAATCTAACGAAGCTTCTGTGAACACCGCCCAAACGCGTTGCACCTGCACAGAAGCTACCACTATTTTATTATTTTTCGAACACTCCCATCTTCTGCTTTCCTCCGCCGACGTGAGTTATCGATTCGCGCGCGTGTATTCCTGCACTTCGCGGGCCTTGGACACAGAACGCGGATCCAGGTAGATGGGTTGCACGATTATTACGATTGTTATCGAACCGATGACGCCAGCTGTTTCAGTTGCTTCCGTAACGCATTAGATACGCGTCAGCTTAATGCTCAGCTTCTTCAATTATCATCTTCTTAGAGTGAAATTGTTGCAGTAATCGCTCCATGGCCCTAAAGCAAAAAAAAAAAATTATAAAATTTTTGATACGATCATTGTGCATGAAACGTTCATTAAAAAGGTCATCAATTTTGTTTTGTAAATATTGTTTGTTTTTTTTGTGGATAAAAGCATATTCAAATCAGTTTCGAAATTTCCATACGAAAGTTCACATTTGCGTGGATCTAAGTGACGGTTTTCATATCGGCTAGAAACCAAAGCATTCATCTTATAAACATCACATATATAAATTGACAAACAGTCAAAATAATTAGGTTCGCATTCAGAGCACACGTCAAAACGGTATTGTATTTTTTAATTATTATTTCGTTACTGAGACCCGCCGATTCCATGGTTAATTAGCAAGAGGCAGTTGAGTTGGTTTCTTGCGTTGTTAGCATTTCGCAACCTGTAGATGGGCGTACGCTAGAAGCTCCTTCACGTGGTAGGTTGCGTAGTCTGTCAGCTGCAACTCCTTGTTTATTTCCTTCTAATATTCAGTGTGGCTTTTCCTAAATGTCAATAGTTCATCTCAGCCTTTTCTTTTTATTTATTTGCACTCGCCTTGAGTAAACAAACGTCATTTGAGAGGCAAGTGCCTCACGTCACGATATTTAAGAAGGAAAAGCAGACAAACAGTTTCATTTAGAGCTGTTTGCTTAAATAAAAGGGCAAAGCGTGCTTGAAGCCCCGCGCCTTTCGACAGAAGCTGTAAAATGAAAGCCGACGTATTGATCCTGATTATTTTCTACTTAAGACACAACTCCGCATCTTCTCCTCGTTTAACCGGTATGTATCTAGCATGCGTTAATGAAATGTAATTGAGACGTAGCACGTTTTCACCACTAGAGTTAAGCAAACCATTGTAAAGTTCAAGATTATACAGCAACATTGTGCTTAATATGCTATACTCAACGTAGTTCAGCTGGATTTTGTTGTGATCCAGAATGAAGATCCCCAATAGGCGAAGTCGATGTGGTAATTTCCTATAAGTATCTTGTAAGCAAGTTGAACTCAAAATTATTTTCCCTAATTACGAAAATGTTATTGACATACGGGATAAGAGGCCGGCACCATCAAACATCAACACTGGAATTTTGTACAGTTTCTAGTTTCACGTATAAGTACTATTGTAACATATTGTCAACGCTGTGAGGCGAATACATGATAAATAATTATTTATTTATCGGCAAACTCTTTCTAAAAAAAATGAAAAGCCAGCGCCAAGACAGAAGAAAAGCGGGCGGTGATTTGTCCGCGTAACTCAACGAAGAACTTGGCTTCTTTCAAAACGGATTCCCGACAGGAGTGCATTCGCCTCGTCGTGCCGGATGAGATAATCAGTTGCGACGATTATCCAACAATTTCGCTGCGGCGATGGTGGAAAAGGTCCAAATATATCCCTTCCAATCTGCTAGAACGCTGTAGTGGGGGGCGCGATCGGCTGCAGGAGGCTTGCCGGCCTCGACGGCGGTTTCTTCCGTCGCTGGTACTCGTGGCGCGATCGTGTGTAGAGGCAGGCAGTCATTGGGAGCTTTGGCCAAAAATACTTCTCTCGGATACTTGCGAGGGTCCTCCTGTAGCCAAGGTGACCAGATGTCGAATCGTTGTGGCAGGCTTGGAAGATTTCTGCTCGAAAACTTGTAGGGGTTACGTCGGGTTACTCTCCTCCAAGTTCTCCTTTTCAAGAACACCTTTCCAGTCAACAAATGTTGGTAGGGCAAGTGAAAAGGCTCGGACAATCGTTCGCCTGGTTTCTTCAAGTGATGGATCAGCGCGCGAGGTACAGAATTGTCCCGTTGGAGTGCTGCCATGCCGTTAACGCCCACTACGTCAAGAAAGCGATCCTCATCATCGCCGTCTTTGGCGCAGACTTTGGGTGACTCGACGGGGGCTCTGGAAGACAGACGACGCCGCTGTGTTTTCGCCCTTACTTGTAGACCACGGTCACGTCGTACTCTTACAGTCGTAGGCTCCATCGAGCGAGGTGTCTCGACAGATCCTTTTGGATCACTAACCAGCGCAGCGAGTGGTGGACGGTGACTACTCCAAAAGGGCTCCCGTATAAGTAGGGGCGGAATTTTATGATGGTTCCGACGGAGGCCAGGCATTCCTTCTCAGTCGTCGAGTAATTTCGTTCCGCGTTGGACAACGTCCGTCCAGTGATGACGATCACACTATCGGTACCCTCTCATCGTTGTACCAGTACTGCGCTGAGTCCTGCATTGCTGGCGTCCGTGTGGACTTTTGTTTTGACCGATTGAACGAAGTGGCCAAGAATCGGTGGCGACTGCAGTCGTTTCTTTAGCACGTCATATGTCCGGTGATGCTCTCCTCCCCATTCGAAGTTCACGCCGTCTTTTCAGAGATGCGGGATTGGTGAAATCCCGAACGACCCACCGGTAAAACGCGCAACGTCCCAGGAATCATTGGACGGCCTTTTCGTTTATGGAAAGTGTAGATGTCAATACGGCGCGAGTCTTCTCAGGGTAAGGAAAAACATCTACTTTGCTCATAACCTGGCCTAGAAACTTCAGTTCGCCATAGGCAAACCGGTACTTCGTTGGGTTGAGGGTGAGTCCGGCGGTCCAGACTTCTTGAAGAACGGCTCGAAGGCGCCGGAAGTGCTCCTGGAAGTTAACCGAGAATACCACGACGTCGACGAGGTAAAAGAGAGAACTCTCGCCTTTGAGGTCTGCCAGTACGGTGTCCATGACGCGCTGTAAGGTCGCTGGCGCCGCGCACAGTCCGAAGGGCATCACCTTGAACTCGCAGAATCTATTGGGCGTGATGAAGGCAGTCTTCTCTCGATCCCCTTCGTCGACTTCGATCTGCCAGTAGTCACTCTTCAGGTCCATCCACGAGAAGTATCAGGAGCGGCGCAGCCGACCGAGTGTGTCGTCGATGTGGCGGAGCGGATACACGTCCTTCTTCGTCACCGCGTTCAGCCGCCTTTATTCTACGCAGAATCTAAGCGTTCCGTTCTTCTTTTTCACGGGTACAATGGTGAGGCCCACGGGGAGCTTGAAGGCTGCATGATGTCCTCGTTGAGCATCTCTTGTACTTGTTCATGAATGGCCCCTCTTTCCTTTGGGGAGATCCGGTACAGTGGCCAATGCACAAGGAGCGCATCGTCGTTCGTAACGATGCTATGTTTCGCAACTGTTCGGCGCACTTTCTACTGGATCGCAGAGCAGTCGCTGAATTGGACAAGGAGGTCTCTGAGGTATCGTCGTTCCGCGGCACTGAGCTTGAGATTACTGTCGAGCTGCGGCGGCAGGGTACTGCACGGATGAGATGGCGACGGCTCATTATAGGTCGCGGCGATTTCGGCGACGTTCCGGACATTGTCGACGTGTCCTTCAACGGCACAGTTCACGAGGACTACAGCGCGTTCATCCTGCAGCTCTGTTACGCCCCTTGCAACGCCTATTCTTCTGCCGAGAAGCAGTTGGATGTCGCCTTCCACCAGAAGTTTTCTGCAGTCGACAGCAAAAGGTCACGACGGGTACAAGAACACTCGTCCGCGGCACCCGGCTCACGTGGTCCGCAATGACTCAGACGGCGGCTGACGTCGTTTTGGACCCCCCCGAACGTAGGACGGGTTTTCGCACCTTCAACCTGTTTGCTGCAAGGTCAATCACGGCACCGTACACACACAAGAAATCCACGACAAGAAATATGTCTCTCGCACAGTCCTGAAGGACGACGAACTTGACTGGACAGGTTTTTATTAATTTCGACGCTAGCAGTGCACCTCCCAACAAGAGTGATGAGGTGTCCTTAGGCGTTGCGTATTTGCCTGCCGACCCACGGTATCGTGACTTTCCGAAGGCGACGAGAGAGCTTCCCACTGAAAACTGTGTAACCTGCTCTGGTGTCCACGACTGCCGACACGTCGTTGCCGTCGATACCAATGGTGAGGTTGTTAAGCACAGTTCCAGAATCGTTGTTTCGATGCTTGTCGTCCCTGGAGTAAGGACCCTCCGACGTTCATTGATGATCTTACCGCTGGAGATCTTTGGCAACTCCATCTCAAGGGGTTGCCGCGATTCGCTTCCCCGGCGAGGCATAGTTGGCAGGCTTTCCCGGCGGGACTTAAGAAAAGGCGATGCAGGGCTTCGCGGTGAAGGCGAGAGATATATTCGGCGATGAGACAGCTTCAGATGTCAAGCGGCGTAGGTAGTTGTCCATGTCCCGAGGTCTCTCCCCACAGCGTGGTCGAAGGTCACCCTGCGCAAACCCTCACAGACCCAGCTGTCAGTAGCGGCATCTTCCGTAGTATCGTCGGCTTCCAAGCAATGGTAACAAAGCGAGCGTCGATCGGCCGTTCGCCACACCTCGGCTTTTCTCGGCGAGGGTTGCTATGGGCAGACGCGCTGGACTAGTTTTTGGCCTCGAGGTTACTGCGGCGTTGGATTGTCCCGTCGAAATGGCACCTGGTTTTAACTGGGAGAAGGAGGCGGCCATCGGGTCACGGCGACGTAGGTCAGCGTCGGCTCCTCTTGCGCCACCATGGTGACGGGAACCTCTGGTCGGAGCGACCGGTGAATTTCTTCGCGAAAAACCTCAGCAATGGAGAGGGATGCCGGAGGACTGGCCGCAGGCAGCAACTTTCGAAGCTGATTCCGGACGACGTCGCGGATAACCTCACGGATGCCCCGGGTACTACCACCGATGTCGTCGCCAAGCAGCGTGGAGGCAATGACGCCTGCATGTCATTGAGTAGTAGGAGGCGCGTGCTTGGAGGGCGCGCTCCGTGTTCATTGCCTCCGTGACAAAAGCTACGACTGTTGCCGGCGGGTTCGCGGACGAGGCCTCTAAAGATGTCGTCCCTCACCCCGCACGTAAGGACACGCAGATTCCTGTTGTCTGTGGCTTTTCGGTCGGCACGTGCGCTCAGTCGCAGGCCATCTCGAACGAAGCTGGTGACGCTTTCTTTGGGGCCTTTTGTCCTCGTTCGAAGGAGGTCCTAGGCGCTCTCCCATCGCTGTTGACTCACGAAGGTCCGTCCGAGCTCTCCTTTCACCTCGTCCCATGACGTAATCGAGGTTTCATAATTCTCAAACCAGTGTTGCGCCGTGCCCTCTATGGTAAACTAGACGTTCTGCAGGCATTGCTGAGGCGTCCACCCATTATAACGGGCCACTCGCTCGTACTGGTTGATACAGTCCTTGATGTCTTCGTAGAGGTTGAAGTGGAAGGGCTTCGGAGTACAAGGGGCGTCGGAGTACAAGGGACGTCGGCGTACGTGGGGCGTCGGCGTACCAGGAGGGACGGGCAGGTGACGCCTTAGGCAACAGCGGGAGTCTTCGCTTGCAGGCCCAGTGGGCTCATTGATGGTTTCGTTGACTTATTCTTCTGTAATAAGTTCACGAATCCGTTAGACGTCCAAATTCTGGGCTGGTTGACCTTTGGTGTGGCTGCTTGCTCAGGACTCGGTAGTCTGCACGGACGGTCTTCTTGAGCCCGGGACTTGGCTTCCGCAGCGAGACCTGGGAGAGGCGTCCTTCATCGGTTTCGGTACCCCGCACGCACCTCCACCAGTAATGTCATGAGGTAATGCGAAGGATTAATAATTATTATGTTCCTCGCGTCTTATTTTGTTTAGAGCGCAGCTCTTAGGCGCCCGTTTCCGGCTTGAGCGGCGTCGCCGTCGGCGTCGGCGTCGGCGTCGCCGTTGCCGTCGGCGTAATAACGCGGTGCATTATGGGAAATGTACCATAATGCACCGCGCGAGCCCGCCCCCCCCCCCCGGGTCACGTGACCTGGGCGGGATCACATCGTCATCAGTGACGGATGCCGACAACGTCACCATAACGCGACGTTATCGGATGCCGTTATCGGCATCCGATAACGTGACGGATGCCGATAACGGCAATGCGGATGCCGATAACGTCACCAGTGACGTCACTGATGATGTCATCAGTGACGATGACGATGGCAATGCGGATGCCGATAACGTCACCAGTGACGTCACTGATGACGTCATCAGTCACTTTTAGAGCGCAGCTCTTAGGGGCTCGTTGCCGGCTTGAGCGGCGTCGGCGTCGCCGTCGGCGTCGCCGTTGGCGTCGCCGTCGCCGTCGGCGTCGGCGTAACCGCGAGGTCACGTGACCCCCCCGAGGTCACGTGACCCACCCAGGTCACGTGACACCCCTAGGTCACGTGACTCCCGAGGTCACGTGACCCCCAGAAGTCACGTGACCCCTGAAATCCCGTGACCCCCAGAAGTCACGTGACCGCCTTGAGGTCACGTGACCCCCTAAGGTCATGTGACCCTTCAGGTCACGTGACCCCCGAGGTCACGTGACCCCCAAAGGTCACGTGAGCCCCTGAGGTCACGTGACCCCATGAGGTCACGTGACCTCAGACGGTATTAACAGTCAATGTTAATTTTTTTTTTTTTGAGCCAACACTCAGACGGTATTAACAGTCAATGTCTGTTTCTTTCTGTCTCTGTCCCCCTCTTAATCGTTGTTTATTCGACGCTTTCCATTCAGTCACCCGTAGACTGGCTTTGAAACGCATAGTCTGAGGTAACTAGCCGCTGCAACGAAATTGAGTGATTACTGCATTTTAGCAGAATCATCTCCTCGTCCGCCTTGCTGCATATGCTCGCATTATTCTTGGTTCACTGAATTCCGTTGAAGCGGCGGTTGCAATCGGTGCGTGTTTACAAATATTCCAATTTACACAGGCAAGACATTAGACAATGCCACGCGCGTAGTTGACCGAGAACGTGCGTGGCCGAATGGTTATCGCGGTTAACGGTCGCGTGTAAGATCTGGGTTTCATTCCAGGTAGCGGAAAGTTCTTTTATTTATTCTTTCTACTTTTCACTATCGCATGTTTGAGAACTTTCTCGTCTCATCGTGTTACGAATGTTCTACGCGCCGAACGTTCTAGGCCGAATGTTCAAGAAACCCACGCCGATAAATAAGGTGCTCCTCGTGGCGAGTCGGGGTCAGTCGTGCCCAGCGTTCGATCCTGCTGTTCGGCCGACTTCGACGCCCGCGACGCTTTGTTGTTATCATCTCCTCTCTTTTTGTTTTGGTCACAAGTTCGCCCCATCAAACGTTTATTTATTCCTGTTAATTTATTGGTCTTTTTGACACCACCCGTGACGTTCTGGTGGAGGTGCTGGGTAGCAAACGTCCCAATTCCGGATGTTGGCCTTGGGTGCGGCGACTTAATCGGGTCTTGGTAGTGCCTTCGTTGGGTCATCGTGGGCTTGTTGTCGGACTTGCCCTGTGGGCCCTCGGAGGGGTACGCCACAGGGGCATCCGGTGCCCGGCACCTTCACCACAATAATACGGGAGGTGACTAAAAAAACAATAAATAAACAGGAATTAATAAACTTTTAATGGGGTGAACTTGGGGCGAACAATTGCGATCAAACGTTTTTCTCGTCATTGAAAGTGTTTTGCAAAGACATTATAGTTCCATACTTCACTTAATAAAGTTAAAGCAAGAGTGCAGGCGAGCTGTTTAAAAACTGACATTTTAAAACAGGAGAGTCGGAAGAACCTTGCCCCGTCCTCTTTTCCTACTCTGGTTAAAAATGTGAATACTTCACTTACTTTCTATTCAGTTTATGTACTAAGGTTTCGGCTAATCCTTGTGGTCACAGCGTACACACTGCATCTCGTTTATGTTCTGACGCTACGATTCCAAGTAAGTAGTTCGTGCTCCTTATTATAGTTAACCATGGAGAGTCAAACACTTTCATCTAAAAACCCCTCTGATAGCACTCTGTTTTATATCCCGGACCTCACTTAAATGTACCGCTCGGCTATTTTCTTTCTATAAAGCATTCCCTCCTACTAACTCCACGTAATCATTACCTATAAAACGTTTCGAATCCGTTTCGTTCAGAGAATTGTGGACTTGCTACAACAACGCCAGACTCTGTGATAAGTGAACGCATTTTGAACGGCACTAACGCGACTCCCGGAGCATGGCCATGGATGTTTGAAATTAGAGGTGGATTCGGACACCGCTGCGGTGGAGCCCTGATAACCTCCCGACATGTGTTGACAAGTGCTCACTGTCTGACGTAAGCAATTTTAGATGTACTATTCTGTAAGGTTCTCGATGAATAAATCCCAAAGCAGTCTAAAATACGGTGTTTGTGGAGACTAACATAGAGGACGAAAACACGACGACACGTTTCGTCCTCTATGTTAGTCTCCACAAACACCGTAACTTAACCAGCACGCTCCATTTCCACGAGTCTAAAATAGTTTCTTTATATCAACAATAATCAACAGTTATACGAAACTCAAGAAAAACCAACTGCAAGTGACACTTCCCTTGAAAGTACTGCCGTATTTTCAGGACCGTGGTGTGCACACGGCTCATAGTTCGCACCTCGTACCTAGAAGACGATGTCAGTTGCCTGTATAAAGTATAAACAGCATGTAAGCGATTTGTTGAGCGACGAGGCAAGCGACGGCGACCCGCTTCGCTGCCACTCGGTCAGTCGAGCGACGAGGCATACCGCAAGGAAGCAACGGCAGCATGTGACTAACGATGTGAGCGACTTTTCTAGCAATCCGGAAGCCAAGCGACGCGGCAAAAGACAGTAATAAATCTTCGTCGCTCGTCGCTGACTCCCGACGCTATCGCCGTCGCTAGTCTCGTCGATCGCTAAATGGCTTACGTGCGATTCACACCTAAAAGTCAGTTGTGAGTTAAAGTCAGTTGTGAGTTAAACGTAAGTTATGATTTAAAGATCAGTTGTGAGTTAAACTTCAGTTGTGAGTACAGCGCTTGTCCTCTGCGTCTTTTGCTTGTCCTTGTCCTTAGCGCTTTAGTGTATATTGCCTAGTATACGAAAAAAAAACAGCTCTCCTAAAAGCACGCCTAAAAAAAATGCCAGCATTATTAGTTAAAAAAAAAAAAAAAAAGCTTGTATCAACGCGTCATCGGAGCGCATCTCTGCACCCGCGGTGCTGCTCTCCAGTGGCTGAGACGAGCAACACATGTGCGCCATAGATACTGACGTCACGTGAAACGCGTAAACATTTGGCGGAGTACAATGTAGTCTTTTCCAAACTTTTGTACTGATCAGCTTTCTTTAGTGAATAAATTCAATCAGGAGGACGCACTAGGTCTCAGGTGGTGTTTATATGACGTTCCTTTAAAGGGGTTATGACACGTCAAAAATAAAAAATGAGATAACGGTACTGCTACGACCCATTGTATGTTCCTATAATCCTGCTAAATTTGTTTTGAAAAGGGCGCGATAATTTCGTGGATAAACCGATTTATATGCGGGCCCCTCGGAGGGGCATATCCGGGCGGACCTGGAGGCTGATGACGTAGCCAGCCTCCAGCGCGGTGTCTCCTTGTACGCACTCACAGTCTTGGCTCTCTTGGCGTATCGAGCAACTTCCTCGTTTACCTTCCACGGTTCGAGCATGCGGTCCGTGACGATTACGTCTACGGCATCGCTCGCCTTGTCGAAGTGTTCGACATTGATCGCAGCAGCGATGAAAGTGATTGCTATCAAGAGATGTTGGAAGCTGTTCATTTTGACTGCGACCCGCTGGCGACCAGCTCCAGCGACGACGAGTAACGGACGAACTCGCAGTGGTCACCGTCGTCCGGGAATATCTCGCAGGCGCATGCAGGGCGGAAGGTCAACGGGCTGGGGGTGAGAGCGAGAATAGCTTTCGGGTTACCGAGTTGTGTGAGCGTTTTTGAGCGTACCGCGACGAGGAGAGCTTGAGCAATCATGGGGGCGCCTAGAATGAGAGAGTGTTCATGGTCACGTGGTTTATGGACACCATGGTGTGACTAACTTGGGCAGTGTTGCCTGGTCGCCAGATGAAAATGATAAAAATTCGTAAATTGAATATTGCTATTACCAGAGCTCTAAAAATCGCGTAACTTGGTGTATATACTAGGTAGCCTACGAGCATTCTATTTCAAGAATAATCTATCCGTTTAATTTTCATGTCATAACCCCTTTAAAGTCGAGAGTCAGCACAGAAATAGTAATGCTATGTATAATCAATTTACAGCCACATATCCAAGAAATTCCTTAGCGTTATGCTCGGGAGCTATTCCAGAAAGCAAGCAGAGAAAGAAGGACTGAAGGAAGAAATTGAAACCATCTGCATACACCCACAATTTGTAAAGGGCGTTTTCGAGGCAAGTGACCGCATGAACGCTCTCATAAAAAGTGTTACCTTAACAAGATGTGAATAAAATTTAATAGCAATCAAACTTAATTAAATTAACTGAGGTACTCAATTACTAATTCTTATAAAAAAAACTAAATTTTAAAAATAACTATCGATATGACCTGCTCCTGCAGCATATACTATATATTTGTGTAAACCTCACTTTATTTCTCGTCAACGCTACATACATTATGCACTTTCGGGAAAGTCGATGCGCTGATTGCATATATTATTATGAAATGCTTTTGTGACGTTCCCGCTAAAAGGAAGACTAAAAATGCCAGTTATCAAACAGCTCAAAAAATGTTCAAAAGGCTAGAACAGAAAAATCAAAACGTTTGTGGACATTCGAATCCTTTATTTCGAGAAGCAATGTTTAAGCGAGTTCGGTGGGTCAAATAATAAAACCTCTCATATCTGTGCTTCAACGGGCGACGTTGCCAGTTTTATGAGCGACCTGCATTAACCAGGTGGCACTGTAAGTCTTTATTCGAATTACCACCTCCCGCCGAAATGTTCACGCTCTTCGGGTGATAGGGAATTAACCGCCCCACGGCGACACCGGTATCATGAAGCTTTTCGCGTGCCGGAATTCCAGAGTGCTTGAAACTGGTGACTCGGTATTACGTCACTTGTATTATGAGTTAAGTTTAACTGTCCAATTAATGTGCAAGGAGTTAAGGAAAGCGTCGTTCGACTGCAAGCAATTCCGCCTTTCCGCCAGCTATCTTGCTCTTGACGCGAAAACGCCGACGTGCAGCCAACCCGCACAAAAAGTGGCCGCCATTAAACTGCAAACGCTGTGCATGCTTCAAGTTGCTCCCTCTCTCAAATCTAGGTTTTCTGTAAGATCTTCTGGAAGCATAGAGAGGAATTTTCGTTGGTTTTACGGCAGCGTTAGGGCTATGTTTTGAGATTCGTATGCCCTATTGAGGCAGTTACTAAATTCAGGTAACGCTGCGCAGATTCTATAGGCTGGTTTCCGAACTTGCGTTTGACAGCAACTAAGAGTGTTCAACAACATTGCGCACCCAATTGTGCTCGCTTATGACGAAAGAACACACTGACCAGTGACGTCAACAAACCGGGAACCCTGGATCGCTTAAAATGTTCCCACATTCCCTTTACTTGTAGATTTTTTTTCAACCTGAGCTTAACATACGTTTAACAATGTTGTGAAGGACAATTTCTTGTATATAGAGCATACAATTAATATTGAAAATATTGCGAAACCTTCACACTAGTTAAATGCAGTTTCAGTGCTATCTCATAAATGGCGCCTGAGTACCAGGCACCGTGTTGTCTTGTCACGAGAGAGCGCAAGTCTGCACGACGCCCATGGTTCCAGAAAAACGCAAGGGTGTGAACCGGTTTTGCGCAAACCACCATGCCTTTACCACCAAAGTTTTACTTTGTTCGTTACCCTTTGAGAATATCGCGCCTTCCGATGAAAGCCAGCAGCCTTCCGGTGTAATAAAAAGCTAATATTACTATATTAGCTTTTCGTTGTGTAAATATTATAAAAACATTTTCATGAGGACTATAATATGATAAAATGCTTGACAAAAAAACAATTCAAACTTATTTAATTATGTGAGTTGAGAACCTGTTAGAATAACCTAACCATTAATCCATCCATCCACTAATCAACAATAGCGATCAAACAACTATTCTGTCAAAAGGGGTTTGGAAATGGGTTTGGAAAAAATTCTCCAGGGTTGCCAAACTCAATATCAACAACTTATTTACTCGCGAGAAATCGTATCGTCCGGAACGAATGGTGCTTAGCGCACCACGGCTTGTTGCCGAACGTAAATAATTTATTTTGTTTTCGCATCTTGCAAAGTGAGTGGCAATCTGGAGTACAGCTGAAATTAGTATCACGAGTGTACACAGAAATGCATTGCCTTCATGTGGAAAAATCTGCTAAGTACAATATGCAATGAGTGTTTCAATATTTTCTGTAAAACTTTGTTTCCTACTTCACACTTCTCTATTGCTCAAATAGTGCTTGGTAGCTGTCTAATTGACGACACTAAAAAGTACGTACGTGTTTTGTTCTTCTTTTATCCTCTACTTCTGCATCATCTCGTGGAATTTGAATCAATAGAGCAAAAAATAATTAGTATAAATTATGCCTCTTTAATAAACCACATTCGGTTCTTTCATCGCTAGGGCTATAAACGAATTCTGGAAAACATTCAAAATATTGAAGATTTATCCTCCTCCAGAATTGCCCAATTAAAACTTTTATTATTCTGAATGTCGCCGATTTGTTCATGCACAGGGCTAATATTAAATTAAATTTTGATGTATCGCAATATCCTAATCTGAAAGTATGTAACATTGTTCTCATTATATTTAGAATTATATCAAATCACTTGTACCTTTCTCTTTTTTAGACTGACATTGCCATCATAACACTGAAAAGACATGTGAATTGTTCAGAAACACTTAAAACAGTTTGTCTGCCCGACATCAATGACAATCCAGATAGTGAGGTTCCCATGTATGTTGCTGGATGGGGACACACTGAACGTAAGAGCGACTACTAAAGTTGTCATTCAAAACACCTAAGGCTAATATTATAAAAGAATACGACCATTTTAGAGGTTTCTGTCTGCCGACATCGTAACGTTCCGAAAGAGCGCCCACTCAAAATGAAGAATTAAATGGTGAAAACATGGAGTGGGCTATCTTTAATGGTGGCACAGCAAAACTTTATGAAGAATTAATGTTAAACACCCTGGCACCGGCTACAAACCACGTGACGCGGGAACTGATACCGCAGATCGCGTACACGGCAAATTCGCGTTTAACGATGCGATAAACTCGCGGGAATTTACTACGAACACCTGTGCCACGGGAAAGGTTACCGCAGGTTGCGGACGCAGCAGGTGCAATTTTGTGGTGCAATAAACGCGCGGTAACCTTCTACAAATTTGCCTGCGACATTTGTCAGACCTGCCGGTACAGCGAATTCTGCGTTTGGTGCGATTCCTCTCGGATATTGTTCCCACTCGGGGGCGTGAGTTCTCTTGAAATTTTACGGCAATTTTAGTTTACGGAAAGGAATCAAAAAGAGTTGATGCCACCGCTGGTATTTCCCGGCGTTGCCGTTTTCGTCTTGAAAAACCAAAACCTTTCTTTTTGGGACCTCTCTAGTTTTTAATCCCTAATATTGAAATCCCAAATGATGTATTTTCCATTTTCCGGCTGTACACTGATGACTGTATGGTTTACCGAAATATTTACATTTATTCAGAATACACCATTACACAAGGTGACCTTAATCGTATTCTCAGCTGGAGTAATAGCAGGAAAATGGCGGCGGGCGTTTGGACGTGCTACCATGTGCAGTTTACGAGATAACACTTTCCATTCCTTTGCCCTTAATCTATAAATATTTAACTTGTAGCGTTAGGTGAAGAAATGTAGTTCTTTGGCGTACATTCCACTGAAAATATTTCTGAGGGAACATACCTAGGATTTAGAAAGTGCTCAAAAACCTCCACGACTTTTTTTTAACATACTGCTAGTACTAGAGCATGAGTACATTTCCATCAGGCCAGAATATTTCCGTCAAAACTGCCTTTGGTAATACCGATGTATAACATATACTCAAACAAAACAAAAATCGAAAAGAGTAGGTTTGGTACTATACTCCATCTCACCCTGCGATGAACTAGGGCCGGAAGGTCAAGCTCAGGAAAGCGCGCATCCGAATTTAAAAAAAGTGCGCGAGAGAACTTTCGATACGCAGAGTACGAAGAGCACTAATTTCTCGCAAATGGTTCTCTGTTTTGAACGGGCGCTATTTTATATTGGTGAAGGAAAGGTACATGGTATTCAGTCTCATAAGCATTCATGACATATTTCGTAAACATGTCAACTGTTTGGAGAAGCTGGAGGGCGCAAGTCGTTTAGCCAATCCAATCCAATCTTTGTGAACGCACCTGGACCTGTATCCCCCGTCCACAGGTAGTCCGTACATACGCTCCCTTGTCGAGCGCACGATCTGACTCATCTTCATTTATTAATCGGCACTGGTTCTTATCCCGGGTTCTCTTCGTTACATCGCATACAGATGATATTTAGTCCCTTCAGTAGTCTTCAGTAGTAGCAAGCGTACGCCGTCAGCAAACAAATCACGTGGCTTTATCGGGTTTCTGAACGGTCCCCGCGGCCTGTAACACTGGTCCATCGTACGATGGGACTGATTATAGTCATACATTAATTCGCAAATGTTCGATCAAGATAGCGAAGTTAACAATGTAAATGTTGTACGTAATTGATGCTTCATATAACCCTTCTGTGCAACAATACTTCAAGAATGAAATCGGATACACAGTGGCATAGCCTCAATAATTTAGAATAATTTGTTAGCTTTCCGGTGATAATCCCTTTGGGTGCTGCGGTATATTCCTGTAAAAACATATTAGATTACACCTAACTACCAGTTAGAGTTCGTTCATTACACGAAATCACAACAGTGCTTTTTATTTGTGGTACAACAGCATATTAAACTTTTCAGGTATTACTAAAAGCGCTTTTCCAGTACACTGTTACGCTTCCACCAAAGGGCCTATCAAATTATAATCTTATAGCATACATAAAATCTGCATTTAAACTCTTGTATTGCTTTGAAGGGACTCTTTAAACCATTAGAAATTCAATGTGGGGTTGAGTAGCACCTATATTAAATTTCCTACAGATTTGAAATTAGCGGTTCATCGTGAAAAAAATTACAATTTAATACTCGCTCCTAAGAAAATGTTTCAAATGTTACATAAATCATTAATAGTTTATTTTCCTTTTTTTTTTCTTGCAAGATGCTCTTTTTAAGCGTGTTTTCTTGTCATCACGTAAGCTTACTTGGTGTTTTGTATGAGAGTGACGGTTCGGAACGGCGAAGTTCGTAAGAAACTACCTCATGAAAGCACTTTTTTTTAGGAAGGATACCCAATAACAGATATTTATATAGCAAATATGAACGCGTTCGCATCAGCTACAGTGATTATAGCGTCAAAAAACAAAATCAAAGGGTTTGGCAGCAAATCAAAGCTGAGTCTGCAAAATTCCTGTCAAAGTAATTTATGGTTCACTTATTTATGCAGATATATAAATATACTGTATTTCTTCAGAAAGTCCAAGGCAGTTGTTTTGGGATAATGATTTCAGCATACGCGCAAATCGAGTAGAATTCATCCCTTTTTATAAAAAAGGAAAAGAAAAAAGAAAACAAAACGTAATTTAGGTGTTATTTGCTAACTGGTAAAATGGCAAGGCATTATAAATAGCATTGGTGATGCGAACCCATTAAATCCGTAACAAAACTGAGCTGTGTAACTCAATACTGACCAACGCCTCGATGCAAACCCTAAATCTCTGAAAACTGTTCTAAAAATTGCACGCATTGGTTTACAGAACATCTAAATACATTGTGGTTATAATGTGTATTCTAAAGTCCTCACCGTGTGTATCAAACCTCAAGATAGCAATTGTGATGTATGGTGCCAAACAACAATAAAATCGAATTCGCTCCGCATACGTCCCCGGCACACTGATTTTTCAATGCTTTGATGAATTCTATTAACAATATAGTTTATCATTATACACGAATATTACCTGGGACTACACTTGCAACAATATGTTGTAATCATTTAACGATGTTGATGCACTCTTAAAGGCTAACAGCTACAGAGTCCAGCTACATTAATCAATATCTTTTTTCCACTCTTTTTGCAGCGCTCATGTGGAATAATCAGTCTTCGTCTGAAGATGTAGACGGGTCTCATGCCATAGAAGATTTGACGACAGTAAACCCCGGCTCCGAGAAAAAATCCCAAGAAGTAACTGAAGGTAAGGTATACCGATGCACTCAGATGTGCTTAAAGGGGCTCTAACATGCCAAAATAAGACATTCTTTATAATCCGAAACGATTGAAAACGATACCCGGACATCATCCTCAATCCTCGATACTTGGGAACTCAGTATTTGTGAAGTAAAAAAACAATTTCTCAAAGTCCAATTTAAGCTTCCGACGCGATCCGCGCTAGTGCAGTGACGTCAAAGATTCAATTATCCTGCAACTCAAGTTTCTTACACGCCTCCAAACCATCCCGTCCCGAAGTCTCCAAACCATCCCGCCCCGAAGTCTCCAAACCATCCCGTCCGGAAGTGTCGTGTTCGCCCTCGTTCCGCGATCCAACTCTCTTCTCCGTGCCCGCCGCCTGCTGCTGTGAGCAGACGACGCTTCACTTTCGAGTTTGAAGTTTTTTTAGGCCCCTTTCAGCGATCTCAATTTCTTTGAAACGGTGCGAGGTCGAAGAGGACGCGCAGTGGACTTTGTCAGCGACGTGAGGGGCCACGTTGCGCCGGTTCTGCGTGAAAGGCTGCCCCGGCGGAGTTACCACCGAAACTACGGTAAAACAGATACCGAACGCAGTTGTTGTGACCGCTTGACGATTTCCTTTTCGAAGTCTGAGAGGTTATGGGCATTTAAAGAAGAGAACTTCGACCCATTCCCCGACTCACCGATCATCCTCACTGCCATATATGCCGTGCGCCGCCAGCTCCGCCGTGCTTACTGAGGGATGATACAAAGCCGGCAGGCGACGCTACTTCAGACTCCGATTTTCGGTATTTCCAAAACAAGGGCCGTAGTGCGTTCGCAATTGCGTTAAAAAAGACATGTTTTACGATTATCCTTATTAAATATTTAAGAAATGTTGCTTACAAACCTTCTAAATTTCATATTGTTCCCGCCACAAATAAAAAGATACGAGGAAGTGAGACGAGGGAGAGAAGGGCGCCAAAAAAAAAAAAAAAGGCGCGCTCGTTTGTAGGCTTTTTTTTTTTTCGCGTCGTGTTTTTTTTTTTTTTTGCGTTTCTAGGACTACAACTTGTATCGTTTTCAACAACAAATTATACGACCTGTGGGGTGTCAGTGCCCCTTTAAGAATGTTCCTGCGGTATTATCTTGCTATAAAAGCGCCTAACAGCTTAGGTTCACCTATCCATTTGGTTCAATGCTTCTGGGGCAGAAACGTTCCAAATATCTAGTACAAAAATAATTTTACCTTCACTACGTATTTCTCTCACCGTATACTGGCATTCTAGTGTCATGGAGAGCCTGATTCCGTGATACCCTTCATCCTAAAAAAAATAACTGTAGACTTAGGGATACACTACCTGTAACCATATAATACTTATAATATAGCTCACTGAAAGAGACTTAATTTGAAAACTCAAAATCAGGGTTCTAATGCTGAAACTCGCCTTGAACACGTTGTGAAAGGTGTTCCAGAAATTCAACTCTCATGATCTCCTCATTTAATTTCCGGGGGGTTAAATCCAGGTACCCTACTTTTTAGCGACGTTTAACAAGTATATTCTTATTCATAACTAACAAGATTCCTTTTGATAATAATATAATTAGGGCAAAGGTGCAAGCGAGCTGAACAATAATAACGCTAATAATCCCTGCGAAGGGGAACCTAGGAAAAACACAAATCTCCAAACACAGCTATGTGACTCTTGCGCTACTTCAAGAATCCTTCTGGTCCTGGTATCGAACATGGGACGTCTTTATTTGCAGTGGAGCGCTCTACCAACCATGATCAGGCGGATTTTCCAGTCGCGCACAGGTCACTGAGCTTTGTTGAAACTTTGTGCTTGTCCTTTGTACTACTTGCTTCTCTTCTCCAGGGAATTAATATCTTTAAGATTCCTTCATACCACAGACGTTAAGCAATTTTACCTGGAGAGAAAATACAGATATACTAAAGTCAATCTCGCAGTAACAAACGTTCTTGAGTTCTTTATTTTTTAAACTCCTACACAAATCGTGAAGACCAATCTCGCAAGATAGAGTTCATTTAGAAACATTTTCACGGTTTCCAAACTCATTTCGAATTACAAAGAATGTATTATGGTCAGCTTAACCGTTCGGCCTCCATCTGATTTTATATTTCAGACACAACCGAGTATTACGACTACTATGGTGTGGCACCAGTGCCCCAATTCAAAAATACAATTCCTGATATACTCCAAGAAGCCCGGGTTCAGTTAATCCCACATGAGGAATGCGAAGGGATGTATAACGAGTCGTCACTTCATGAAAGCATCGTGTGCGGTATGCACGACTTTGGATCTATATGCTCGGTGAGAATAACCATTTCTTAGTAAGATATGCACCATTAAGTTAAAATAAGGCAAGTCTTGAAAGCTAAATGTACCGATTGTCTTTTCGAAGGCATATAAAAACATCTGCAGTCAATATAAATATCGTACGTAGGTGCTCACATGCGCTCAACGGCCCAAAAAACATCTGGCAGCCCAAGGAAGACGGGGTGCAGCCAGTCCCAATAATATTAATACTGAAAAACTCAGAATGCAACATTTTCTAGCGTCAGCAATCAAGAACGCTCTCGATTGTGCTCACTGACAGAATGAGAATGATAGGGAGTGTCTTCAGAACGCCCATTTGCCGGCAAACTCTCAGCGCCTTCCACTGTGCTTTGGCAGCGAACGCGCCCTTGATGTGCACGAAACGTCAAAGGGTCGCCTAATGTCGGAAGCTCGCGCTGGGGGCGGAACAACTGAAGCTCCTCCCCGCAGTCATTCCGCACATTTATCTCTTCAACCACTACTTTCCTCGATATATTTCTTTTTTGGACCGGAAGTCCCGTGACTTGTCTGTGTTTCCGTTGTTGTTCTTTTTCTCTTATTACTTTCGTCCGGATATACTGCGTCGACGACTATTATCTAGGCATCCGAACAAACTCCGAATATTCAGCATTCTGCCTATACTTCGTTCACCCCTAAACTGGCAGTGTGATGGAAGCTACGGGCTTGCCGGGTCAATCAATTGCCTCTCTCTCATCATCTGACTCCGCTCTCGTGGCGCTAGTATGGGCGGTCGCGCCATCGTGTGGAGAAAAATAGACGTGTAACTGGTCAAGCAAGCACGGTGTTTCCACTACACTGGCCGTTTAGAAATGAGCTTGGTATAAAAACAAGCTTCGACAAAGAGGAGTCCAGATGTACTCAAGCTTTCTTCATGACCCCCAGCGTAGCTCTTCCATGCAGTGCTCTTTGCGGTGAGCACGAAATTTTGATTGGTAATTTTAGAACTGATTGTTAGAACTTCTAAAAATTCAAGAGTATCGGACAGAAAAGTGTTGGCCAAACAAGACCGACAACAATAAGCATATCCGTTAGCCTTTTAGTGTTTATACTGGTTCGCCTATACTGCTTTCAGTAATATTGGGAGTGGTAAATTGAACCCATGCCACCACTCAATTATTCGTAAATGTCAATTTTGAGTTACAACTATAATTAAACGTGTGTCGCCGCGCCGACACGGTGCATTCCAAGTACCTTTCAACGAGGGTGCATTGATTAGAATATACGAGCAACAGGTTTCTTCGACACAAAAATGGAGGGCGTCAAACAACCGTAATGGGTGCCCCACATTGCGCTATCTCTTAAGCGTGAACAAACGCAAATTAGCTTTTGCGTGAATTCCCGTTATTTAACCGTTCAATTTATTCTGTTCCCCTTTCATTTCTTAAACAGGGCGACAGCGGAGGCCCGTTGGTGTACAAGACAGCAGATGGCCGTTGGACCTTGATGGGACTAATAACCGCTACCGAGTTGCCATGCAACGTCACCCATCTCCCGATGTACTTCGTTAGAGTTAAGCCCTTCATGGACAACTTCATCCTTCCCTGCGTTCAAGATCCTAGTAATTGCACATGCAAGCCAGCAAATGATACAAAATTTGGCATTTATAATTAGTGTGTTTTAGAAAAATTTTCAAACCGGTCATATCTGTATGTTATTAAAACAATTATTGAGATCATCTGAGCAACCTTCGGGCGGAATCACTGGTGTTGCATGGGTGTTTAGAGTTTTACATAAAATAAAAAAATGTATCTGCTTTTTTGCATCTAGTTACCGAGTGTGTCCGCATTAAGACCAGATATTAAGAAGACGCTCAATATACCAAATTCATTAGAATAGCAACAGCAGCAACATGCTTCTTCTGCATGAGGTTCAAAGCGGCAAAGCTAGCTAATGCCGGACGTGCCGCAACGCTGACAGTGATGGAGGTCGACCACGACGACGACGGAGTGGTGTGGAGTGCTGATTTCGCTGGTCTTTAATAAGGCGGCTGCTGTCATGCTGTTCCCGACTTCCTGCGACATGGTAGCCCTCTTGCTCCTGCTGAACTCCTGGCCGTCCCGAAAACTGGTCGGGACGGCGAGGGGTTAGGGATGTTCCTGAGACAATAATCCAGAGGCTTCTAAACTGGCCATGCGAAGCGCGATGTGTCGAATAGTTTATACTTTTCACGTAATTTCAGCGAACGCCCATATGATACCGAAAGTCAAAAATTTAATTAATCAGTTACAGCTTGTTAATTCCCAACAATTATGGGTTGCTTTTGGTAAATCCTTTCCCATTTTCCTTCACTTCTAAAGTTGCAGTTCGGTGTCGTGGTTGTTGCGCAGATAAGCAATTGCAAAAAGATTGGCAGTTTCTTCGCAGAACTGGGTAATTTTATATCCCGTAAAATGTTATTTCTCGACGCACTGGACCAATATTTAGGCTGCCGATGCGTGCTAGTTGGTTCCTGCTTAGTAGATTCGACATAGGGCATAACAAATGCAGAAAAGTAGAAGGTGAGCACAGGACAAGCGTTTATACTCAAGTGAAGTTTTTATTGATAATTAACACCGAAGTGGACAACAGCATTCACAGCCAGCATGGCCATTTCATCACGTGTCCGGATATCATATCTCTTCGCTATGTAGAAGGACCGGTGTTTGGCCTACACGCTGCCCAGACCCTTTCTTGATTGTGTTGGCCTCTAAACGTTCGGTAGCCATCTGATCCCCCCCCCCCCCCCCTCCCACAAACACCTCCAGCAATCGTGACGTGATGAAAGTCGGGCTGACATCCACGATTTGCGCAATAAAGCGCCAAGGGCCCCCCAGCTGTCGACCGTAGAGACCGAGCATGGTCACCCAATATTTCATTTACACATCGGCCCGTTTGGCCGACGAATACCTCGCCGCACGTCAGCGCAATCCTTCCTTTACACAGCGCCCATCGTACATTCCATATATTTGTTCCTGTATTTGACTGAGCAAATGCGCTTGGATACAATTTTGTTGGCAACCCTTGGGCACAATTGCGCGAGTTTGTTAGGTGCAAAAAAACGCCCTAAGCGTGTCGTATCACTGGGCCCCTCTTAGATTGTGGGATATTTGATGAAGGCACGGAATGAATATCGCCCTCTTATTTGGCCTGTCTTTTTTTGCACTGCAGCCCCCCCCCCCCCCCCCCTCACTTTCTTAGGTAGCGACTCTGGAACAGGTACAAACAACGATGTGGGGAATCCAGCCGCAACCAGTTGCTCCAACTGCTGGCCGAAACTGGCATGCATTACATGGTGGCATGATTTCTCCAAAACCGCATGTAGGCAAGATGAAGCAATACCTATTTTTACGAGTTCAGAGTACGAAGAGTCGAAAAAAAGGAGAACCTTCTTCGATCTTGGGTTTTACGACCAGCAAACATCACTGCTTCGGCGCCACTTATCCCCGTGCGAGTGAAGCGCTCTGTGCGCCGAACATAAAGGGGTCGCCGCGTCGGGCAGAGATTCATCATCTAAATGTATCTTGCGCCGTGCGTCCGGGTCACCGTATTGTGGTTACTTCAAAGAGTAAGAAGTCGTAAAAACTAAATTCTACAATATATTTGAGTACTTCTGAAAAACCACTGCTAAAAATCCCTGACATATTTTGAAAGGCTACCACACCAAACTTCTCAGTGCACTGAGTTGTAGCCTTTTATTATAAATCGGGGATATGTAGAAGTGGCTCTTTAGAATTCCTCAATTTGTTATCATTGGAAACTTTTATTCACTATGATGGCAAGCATTACTTGCAAAACAAGGGCACATGTATCGGGTAGTGCATCGCGCCAGTCCTCAGCGGTAAATTTTTGGCACAAATTCATAGCACTTTAAGCAGCCGGTTTCAAGTGTCCAAAGTAAAGTAAGTTTTAGATACGTGGATGATTCCATAGATTTTACTGCTTAAAATACCAACGCTTTTGAAGCAGAGACTGCGAAAACCATGACCACTTTTAAGTAATGCCTCTGCACTCTCGACGCCACGCATGAGATGCCCGTAGAAAACTCTATACGTTTTGTTTACCTCAGGTTTTTGTTTCTCGACGATTACATCCGCGTGCGCATAAGCCGCTGCTTCCTCTTCATTCAGCCAACTCCAAGCTGATCAAAATAAGTATTGTTAGCCTCTGTCTTAACAACGCGTTCAAACATTCCACTGAGCATTTCACCTCTGCTGGTTTTGAGCAGCACGCAATGCGGTTGGCCGCAGCTGGGAACTCTAAGCACGTTCTTGTTGCGGTTGCTGCAGTCCTTCTAGGAAATCACTGTCTCAAAGAAAAAGAGTGGAAGCCAGCATGCGATACAGAAAGAAAAAGTTGTTATATCGTATATTTACCACGTGTCTCACAATTCGAAGAAAACCGCTTTACAGTCAAGTGTAAAGGTAGCGTTTTCCGCGCCCAATACGCTCATGAAATTGTGCTAACTAACAAAGCTTGACGTGCCTGCCATACACGGATGCGAAAAGAAGCACTGAACAAAAATTGTCGTCTGCCACGCATTTCATGGTATATGAAAACTCGCTGTCTTGTGGCGTGCAGTACGTCGGGCAGACGGGGCGATGCCTAAATGATGGGCTTCGCGAGCACTGTAACAATGTGCAAAAACACAAGAATGGGTTTCTTGAGATGCACTGAGGGCATGCGGTTATGCTCCCCTATTTGATGGATGCGTTAGAATTAAAAAAAAACGAGGCTACCATAACACCTGCAATTGGAGAAGCTGAACGCAATAATTACTTAGTCGAAACGTGTGTCGCCTTCGATAGCTCTATCTGAAAAGGAACTTGCTTACCTCGGAGCAAGATAATGCTGTACCCTGAACATACTCTGTGATGGTTGTTTGTTTTGTTTTGTGACAAAGTTTGACTACAAATACCGCAACGCGTTTCAATAAAAATATGTTTGAAGTTCCGCCTCGTTTGCGTCCGGTCCTCCTTCATCCTCGTTTTTGCTGCACACTCCGTGGACTCCCTCGGAGAGAGCCACTGAACCCCCGAAGCCATTCAGTCCTTTGTTAGCAAGACAAAATCTTTTGTGAAACTTCATTTCGGCATTTGATCATCCCTTTATGACACCGAGACGATACAAAAAGTCTTCATGATTAGATATTGAAAATATCAATGCTTACAAAAAAATATCTACTTTTTTATGGGACATTTCCTAACCTCACGTCGAGCCCCTCTGTATCTGTTAGTAACAACGGCCCTAGCAACGCTTTGTTCGGAACGCAGCGCCATCTTGTGACGCCATCACTCATGGGGTCCATTGGGCCGATTTAAACCATATTAGGTTTCCTGTATCGGCTTCCTACGGGAGCCAGAGTTGCGTGTCTGCTTTCCACGTGTCGCCGCGCCGCTATTCGTCGAGATCGGATCACGTGAGGAGCCGGATCAAATGCCGTGCAGGAAAGTAGACGTTGCACACGCCTCGGCGTATATTCCCCTGCTTTTGAGCGTGCGCGTGCCTCGAACGCGCGGCGCCTCTATTCGCCCAATTCAGTCATGTGAGGAGCAGGATCAACAGGCCGTGCAGGAAACACGGCTCTACGGGAATGAACGCGCAACTCTTGCTCCCGTAGGGGGCCTATTGACCTTTCGTGCGGCAGTCTCGAACGAAGCGGTTTACAACGCGCGTCCCTGGTTTTGAGAGGGTGCGTCAGTGTTGCCTGACTGCGCCGGGCTGTGGGTTTTCTCGTCAGTGGGTTGTGGCAGCCTGCGTAGCCACACTTCCGGACGCTGGTTTAGGCTAAATTGCAGTGTTCTATTTTTTATTATGTGTTCTATGACTAACAGAATTTCTCGGGGTTTTTAAGAATCTATTGTACTATTTTTGAGAACAAAAACAAAGAAATAGAAGCTGCTTTCGTGAGTCCGTGCGCGACGGTACAAACGCAACTGGAGTATTTTTATAAGATGTTGATCTTTCTACGCCACTGTAGTAACTAGCGATAGATGGCGCCACGTCTCCCAGCGGTGCCGCGTTTTGAGCACGAGCGCGGAGCGCGCGGAATAAAAGATCATTCGTTCGAATCTCCATGCTGGCTGATGCGTAATGCTTCCTACATGGTGGCAGCGGTTTAAGCCAAATTAGTCCGTAGCGGTTCAAGGAAACGAAACAACGCTGGACAGTAGGCCCGGAGAAGGTGGCGACCGCGAAGAACGCCAAAGTGAGCGAACGGCGACCACCATGACAAGCCTACTACCGCCGCCGAAACCGCTAGACATGGCAAGCGAACCCTGGAACGCATGGAAGAAGTGGCTAATGGAATTCGAGCTGTTTGCGGTAGCAACGCACCTGATGGACCAACCTGACAAAGTGCAAGCAGCAACACTTCTCGTCTGCATTGGAGAAGAAGGTAGGCGAATTTACACTACCTTCACATTCGATAACGAGGAAGACAGAGAGAAACTCGAGGTCCTGAAGAATAAGTTCGCGGCGCACATGAAGCCAGCGATCAACCTCACGTACCACGAATTCATCTTTGGGAAAATAGACCAAAAGGAAGGTGAGAAGTTTGATGAGTGGTTGACGGAACTGAGGGTGCTTGTACGCAACTGCGAGTACGGCGACGTCGAAGAACGTATGCTAAGAAGCCGAATAATACTCGGAACTAAAGACCGACAGTTGCAGCAGAAACTGATTAACGACAATCCTACCTTTGACAAAGTCCTGGAGATATGCCGAACAAGGGAACGAACTGAAGAACAGTTCAACGAAATCCACGGAAAGGACGAGCGACACGAGGACCCACTGACAGTAAAGGTGCTTAGAAGATCAGACCAAGCCACGTGCCACCGTTGCGGCTTTGTTCATCGCGCGAGCACGTGCCCAGCTACTGGAAAACAGTGCCTTAGTTGTGGCGAGCTAGGCCACTTTGCAAAATGCTGCAAGAGCGAGACCCACACACCAGACAGCCGTCACCGACGCCAGTCGAAAAAAGGACGAAAATTTGATCCCAAAGTACGACAAGTAGAGCGCGAGGATACGGACGACAGCGATGAAGATTATCTGCTGTGCCATTTAACCGTAGATAAGATAGAGAAAGAAGACCGATGGAGCGAGACAGTCACAATAGAAAAAAATAGCGTACGCTGCAAGCTCGACACCGGGGCTAATTGCTCAGTCATCCCAGAAAGACTGATCCGTCTAATATCAAACAAAAAAGTCCGGAAATGCGATACCACACTATCACCGTTTTTTGGCCACAAGAAAAAAGCATGTGGAAGAACAACACTGACAGTGTCGAATGGAGCCAGAGCTGTC